TCAACTGATCCACGTCTACATACGACGCCTATCACAGCAACCCTAGATAAGGTCCATTCAGGATTATCAGCAGCTTTATCAAGTTGCTCAGGAGCTAATTACCCTCCACCATCCCCAGCTCCTCCTTTCGTCCAGTCAGGACTTGGCCTATACCGCTTCGAATCAGAGTCATTTCTTGAATTATGTTAAATTAAATTAATGTCATGAAGAACATTAATGATATCATTAATGATAATAAATAAATAAATAAATAAATAAATAGGACAAGTTTGCAGCTTTCTCGTTGACTAACCGAAAAACATTTGACTTATTTGATTTTTGTTTTGTTTGTTTTTTTGTTTCCCGCATTACGATTTTGACCAGGAATTATATGTTCCTTTTTTTTTATTATTAAAGAAAAGATGTAATTCTTTTAAATTAAATATGTGCTCACAAATGTTACAATTAAATGTAGCCTACTCAAAACGAGAACATGCCGCCACCAGCCAGGGAGCCTGTAAGATGGACCTCGGATGCTTCGCCAATGCGGACACAGACTCAAGTGCTACAAGAGCCGTTGTGTGTGTGTGTGTGTGTGTGTGCGCGCAGGTCTGCTCATGCGCCCATGAAGAGATGCTGCTGCTGATGATGATGATCAGATGTGTGTGCGCTGCGGCGGGCTTATTTACACCCGTTCAGGCACACTGCATCAAAGAAAAACTCTGGTGCTCCATAGGAAATGGACTTTCTAAAGGGATTCATGTGTCTCTGCGGTGATACATCTCAAGGTTAGTACAGAGATATGGCGTTAAGTGAGTCTATTTCTTTACGTAATCTTATTCCTGCCCATGTCATTCTCTATCGGTGAGTCTGCCAAAATGTTCGCTCTGCGCCCGAGCTGGAAACGTTTTATTTTCAGTCTCTCTTAAGACTACACGTCTACACCTCTTCCTAGTCGTTTCCGTTGTGTATTTCTTTAAATGGGAAATGTCACACTGCTGTGATGTGAAACGGGTGAAAAGAGACAATGTTTTTCTTTGAAATTACATTTTTAGGCACAACAGTATGCAGGTAGGCTAATATATTATGCAGGGGTTTTTTTTGTAGGCTACTGTGTATTTTTTTCATCCCATTACAATGACGTTTTTATCCCATTATCCCAAATCACGGGTTTTAGCTACTGTGTGCATACGGTAAATGGTGCAATGCTACACCGTGTTGAGTCCGGAGAGGCCATAAAACAGAAATCTTAACATTTACAACGAGTTTTGCCTGGGTGCGTTTGTCAAATTAGCCTTTTTATTGGCACGACAAAATAAAATTTGAACAAATAAACAAACGAATTGCTGTTTAGATTCCGCCATGTGCGCCTATACTCTTATCTGAATGAATAGATCAGAGCTTGTTTGTAAACCTATGCGCATGCATTAGGTTGAGCGCGCGCTTGTCCTGAGTGACAATACTGTTCACATTCATTCATGTTACCTTAACCCGTTCGGCCCCGAGTTATGTTCCAAGGGACACAAAACAAGACCGTGCTTTATTTCTATTTAAAAACCTTGTTGTTAAATCCTAGTTGCTGTTCATTATAGGCCTATAGGGCAAGCTATCTCATTGACAAGCTACCATGTAACAAGCACTAGTTTGACTAGGCTACCTTATGACCAGATGGTAGCTGGTTTGTTGCTGGTCCAGGACTCTCTGCCAGCTTGGAGCAGTTAATGACGAGCTTTTACCAGATAACATGTTATAAGCCCAGTTACTAACATTAACGCAGCCATAGAGCCAAAAAAAAAAGAACAGAAAAAAAGAAGAAGAAGAAGAAAAAAAGATAATGATCATGATGCTTTGATAGTTACATATAATGGACATGTTGGACGTGGTTCTGAAAGGTTCAGGGATCAGGTGAAAGCTTGTTCTAAAATAAAATAAAATAAAATTCATTTTCTATTGAAATTAAATACGCCTATATTAAATACATTGACATTCAAAACGGTATAAAATTAGATTTTATATAAATAAAACGTAAAGCTGCAGTCCGTAACTTTTTTGGGTTAAAAATTATCCAAAATAATTTTTTTTAGCAAATACATAACCAGCCAGTGTTCAAAACTATCTGCTTGCCTTAGCTCGATTCAAAACGGTAAGCTTGTAATAATGTTTTTAAAGGAGTCATAATGTAGTATTAACTTTGATACCCACGGTCTATTATAGTCATTTCATGCCCTTCTAAAAAAGAAAAATTGGAAAAAAATAAACACAGAGCTCGTTTGACCCTTATTTCTGAATGCATTATTGTCTCGCGAGATCTGATGCGAGGTTTTGGCTGTCGTGGACGGTCATTTTAATAATGCAAATGAGGGGCGCGTTGATTGGTGGCAGGAAGGAGGGGGCTTGACACCGCAGGTAACTTCAGCATATCATTCCAAAAAGAGATCATGGCGCAAGTTGTTAATGAACCCGACCTGGCCGCGACCTACGGGATTCAACCGTATATGTTTTAGCCAGACTCTGAACCAGAGCTGGAAACGGAAGAGGAACAACAGTCAATTGAAGGACGTCTACATCAACATGTCTCTGAATGGTAAAGACAATTTTTTTGACTGAGACATACATTAACATCAGTAACGAGCTAAAACGTTTTTTTTTTGCTATTTTCTCCCACATAAGTTTAGCTTTAATTTAATGTAGATTACATTAACGGAGATGTAGTCTACTTTATTTTCAGTTTACAGTGGTTATAGAGATTAACGTTTGCTATAATGTGTTGTTTTTGCCTTTTTTGACGTTATGGTTTTTTAGATATTTAATAATTTTCATCTGCAGACATGTAACGTTATGTTTTTCTTTATGTTTATTATTCTTGACTGTTTTTTAAATTTATCTATCCTTATCACACATTAACCGCATTAGTAGTTAGCTGCTGTTTGTTACACAAAATATAGTAATAAAAACACAGTCTTACCGTTTCAAATTCAGGCAAGTCCCTGATTATTGGAATGACACCTTTTCCCAAACGTAGCTTCGATGCCAACTTCGCCTGATATTGCCCCAAATTTGTAAAAGATTCTTTTGTGAAATGTTTAGCGCAGACACCTAACGTTGAGCAAGTTGAGATGGTTGTTGGAACAGCGTCATTAAAAATAAATTTCATTCACTTGTCCCTTGTAGTTTGGTCAGTTTTCGGTAAAGAAAAAACATTAGAATGTGGATTATGACAGTCAACCACAGAGCAACTCACGTGTGCACTACGTTTCTGCATCTTTCTTGACTGAATATGATGGGGAGAGGGGCAGGGCGGGCCTCCTCTGCGGTGTCCATATATGGTATATCCGGCCCCGTCTTGACGTCAAGTCGGGGGAGAAATTGAAATCTCGTATTTGAGTGCGCGTGCACGTTGGCTAGTTTAAGAACCCTAGGGTAAACAAACGCTTCACTTTTAAATATCGGCATCCCGGCCAATGTATAATCGTTAGTCAATCATAACATACATTGATTCTCATGGAAAAGTGAAAATTGCACATTATGACTCCTTTAATTCCAGTGGTACTGGTGGATTTCCGCTGGAAATTCAAGCATGTCTTTGCGTCATTACGTCACATCTGTACACATAAAGAAGGAGTCTCGGCTAGTAGGCTATATTGCGTGTGAGGATGTTGGAGGTGGAGATTTATAGCCTTTTCTCACAGCACTTGATATAATTAAACTTATCAATTTGATGGCGGATGCAGAAAGTTCAAACGACAATCACCAGTGACAACTGAAGATTCACCCGTTGTAAAATGCAAAAGACTTCAGACTTTGGACTTCGGAGTGGCTACAGAAAAAAAAGAGACTGCAACCGGGCCCATGCGAAAACAAGGATAAATATCGGAAGGGCTTTTGACAGGTGGTGTGAACTCCGTGTTTTGAAGGGGTTCAAAATGGACGCAGAGAAGGCTTTTTTTCTGCTGGACAGGTAAGACATAAGCGATCATTAGATTTAATCAGCGCGATTTACTGCAATGCTTTTTTTCCCTTAGTTGGTCAGAACAAAAGTGGATGTTACTTGTTCAGATGGCATTTTCCTGTGAAAATTCTTATGTTGGTCATACTTCAAAAAATTAGAATCTGTGATTCCGAATGTCAGTATCCACACCGCCTCAGTGACTGACAGCCATACATTCTCCTCAAAACATTGGATTCATTCGCGCTGTGCCGTGCCGAAGCACAACCCACGTAAAGTTGATAATTCCGCTAATAACTGCAATTGCAGATTTCAAACAGAGATGGCGACAAAGAGGAAAAACTACGGACTGCAGCTTAAATGTTGATTTAGAAAAAAATCTTAATAACTAGCACAGAAACAAACAATAAATGTCACTTACATGGCCAAGCATGTTACATGGATGGTCCTCTCAAACCTGCACCTTTTGGGTGACCACCTCACACAGTGCCACACCACCCACATCTTTGGCATGTCTCCATAGAGACATACAAGTCGAATGTTAGTGCATAAGCAGTGTAATTCAGTAGCTTACTTCTGTTGCTTTTTATTTATCTTTTTTACAGGCAATGTTTTTGAATACAAAATATCCATTTGATAATTTATCAGCCACAATCTGCAGATAATCTGAATACATTTTGGATAAGATTAGACATATAAACATTCATGTCAGTATACCTTATTTTTTATACGAGACCCAATGGGATATCACAATGAACATCAAATGAAAGAAATCAGAGTCAATTATTTAAAGTCATATTTAAAAATAGTAGTTTATAAAAAATTAAATTCTTTGATCCGATTTCTAAATGACAAAAAAAAAAAAAATACTAATCTGAAATGGGCACTGGGTCTGAACAGATTAACATTTTGAGGCAATTCTGTTTTAAAAAAAGTAAACATTCTTGTTTCTTTTTTGTCTTCTAGCTCTAAATTTGCCTTATCAGTCCCACAGGCTGTTCTTCCAGACAGTGTGGAAAGGATTTAAACAGCCACATTACTGAAGAGGATTTTATGACTTATGCAACATCTACATTTTAACTGCGTGTCAGAAATGCCCCCTTCTATTAAGTGGTGCATCAGGCGGGCTGTCTGCTTGTCCTTTATTCTTGCACTGATCCCCAGGACCAGAGGATCGACGCTGAATTGTCACAAAATGTGCATATGCGCCAGTAACATTGTCAGCTGCTCCAAGATGAACCTGACGATGATTCCATCCGACCTGCCCAGCTACACAGCCGTGCTTGACATTAGTTTTAATGAGATAACTGGACTACGCGCACAATGGACCAAGCACAAACTCCCTGAACTCCACAACCTCTTGCTCAGCCACAACGGTTTGTCGTTCCTCTCTTCGGAGGCGTTCGTATTCGTAAAGCAACTGCGCTACTTGGATCTGTCGTCTAATAATCTGCGACAGCTAGACGAGTTCATTTTCGAGCCACTGATACATCTGGAGGTTCTGCTGCTCTACAACAATCACATCTCGCAGATCGACCGCACGGCCTTCTTGGGCCTCAGCAGCCTGCAGAAACTCTACCTGAGCCAGAACCAGGTGTCCCGCTTCCCCCTGGAGCTCGTCAAGGACAAGAACCGACTGGACAAGCTAAGCCTGTTGGACTTGTCTTCCAATCGGATCAAAGTTCTCCCCATTCATGACCTCCAGGTGCTGCCAGCCTGGCTCAAGAACGGGCTGTACTTTCACAACAACACCCTCATCTGCGACTGCGAGCTGTACAGTTTGATGGCTCACTGGTATATCCGAAGACTCAATTCTGCACTGGACTTCAAGGACGACCACACCTGCGTGCATCCCGGCCCGGATAAACGGGTGCTGCGTTTGTTCGATCTCAACACTCATATGAACTGCAGCACGTTTAAAGAAACCGTCGAAGAAGCTTATTTGGAGCAGACGCTCATCCTTGGCTGTGACACCCGGCATCGGGACATGTTAAAGACCTGGATGCTACCTGGAAATGTAGTGTTATCTCCTGGCAATAACCACAGCGCTGTGGTTCTCCCAGACGGCAGCCTAGAGATAAAATCGATACGACCTGAGGACTCAGGTGTGTACACTTGCTTCGCCGTGAGTGAATACCTCAACGAAACGCTCTACGTGGTGGTCAAAGTCTACAACTTCACCCTCAGTGGAAACGGTGAAGGCCTCAACACTGCTTACACCACTTTGGTGGGCTGCTTGGCTAGCGTGGTCCTGGTTCTTATCTATCTGTACCTGACGCCCTGTCGCTGCTTCTGCTGTCCCGACCAGGGTAAATCAAAGAACAATCATGAAGACAGTATCCACTCCTCCATGCTCAGCGTCACCCCCACCCATGACGATATGGCAACCAAAGCAGAGCTCAACAGGCATGTGGCCTTCATAGACCCAAAGGACCTTCAGGGACAGAACGGAAAAGTGAATCCTAATGGAGAGGAAGAGGTAGATGAGGAGGCCATGCAAGGAAAAGGAAAGCGGAAGAAATCGGTGGCAGACTCAATTAGTTCGGTCTTTTCTGATACTCCCATTGTAGTCTGAGGGAGGATGTGTATTTTTGGCTGGAGACAGTTCATAGTTGTGACTTTCTCGGACAAAGAGACTGAAGTACAGTTTGCCATCCTCAGAGTTTGGCTGTTTCTGCAAAACCTTTCCAGCATTTTAATCTGTAGCACTTAAGTATATACTGTGAAAAGGTCTCGCCATATTAGTGGAATCTAAACCTGGAGTGTTTAGATGTTTCTGTGAGTTTAGGCCGACTAAGTGTGACTAGACATAGTCTTGGTAAACATCACATGCAATCTGCAATTTCTCAATGATCAAGCTAGGAAGCTAGATTGAGAAACATTACAACATTAATACATCCACTATATAATCACGTCATAAGCATGAGCTTTGCAGACTGCTAATGTCAAGAAGAATATAGCATAGAATGAAACCCTTGTAGCTAATCATATTTACCACCTTTTATGCTAACTGACTGACCTTACCACTTTATGTAAGCCATACGCAGTTGGTCATTGCAGGGGGAAAGCAATACACTATTGCATTTGATTGTACAGTCACAAGAAAAAGATGGAAAAGTATCTGTCTCTATGGAACATTGTTAGTGTTTTTTGAATGAAAGAGTTGACTGAATCAGTTCCCTGTGTAAACAGGAAACACCCATATGATAATACTTATATAATTAGATAACTAATTACTGATATATTGCTATGGAAAAATAAAATCCTTGTCAAACTGGATTAGCTGGTTGAATCTAGACTCTTTCCATCCAATTTCATTAAAAAAATTGTTATATAATTATCATATTTTTTTATCTTTACATTTAAGTTTTTGATTCCAATCAAAAAATTGTAAGAAATTACTCAGAGTTCTTATCTATATCAAACTATATGTAAATACAGCACCAATATTATTTAATTTTGGCTAACTCTCGCATAAAAATGCAGAATCTCGCATGACACCCAGAGAGTGACATATAATGCTAATGCAATCTTTTAATAGAATGGCGTGTCCCATCTGCTTGCATTCTCATCTCTAAAGCTATAATGATTTGAGCCTGGATTCATCAGCCAAAACAGTTTCGGACACTCAGACCTCTTCTCACTCTGCGTTTATTTGCACTTGTGGTGGTTGGAGTTAGTGCTGAGTCATCCATTGTCGGAATGGACGTCATTTTTTTTTTGAGCCCTTGAAGCACTGATGTAATATTCATCACATAAAAGCCAAATGCTGAGGGATTTTTTTCATTATTATTTGTTTATCTTGAACCATTTGAATACGTTTTCTGAATGAATTAAAATCAAGGGTGAACTCAGGTCAAAACGTGGTGATTAGTCAATCCCGCTCATGCTCTGGTATTCTAAATTATTACTTCAGGCATACAGCATGTGATCTCTCAAAGACCAATATTATATTTGCATAAACAATGCCATAGGAATCGAAATAAGAACACTATGAATCATAATGTAATGCATAAAGGTTGTCTGCTATGCTCAAGGAAGATGTGTCTAGATCCATTCCATATGCATTTTGATTACAACATTATTGTCCTGATGGACTTGAAAGCCATGATTAGGCTGTTCCAGAACACTGGGATGTAGGCAATGATGTCATAGAGGAAGTTAGAGAAACATGCGTGGATTTAGAACGTCCAGCGCTGTGCACACCTAGAACCCTTAATTCTGGGAATTCCGCTTCCATTCTTCTGTTCCTGGAAATAAATTAGACATCTCACGTGTTAACCATAACCACTTTATAACATTGTTTGGTTGGGTTCAGCAGGAGCAATCTTAGTTTCCTCCGACCTCTTTCCCTAGTAACATCGTAATTACATCCTGTTTTGCGAGCGAGGGAGTGGGTGAAGCTATTAAATGTTTGATAGGTGGATGAACTCACAAACAGTATTATCTCAGGGAGAGGGAATGACAGATAATAGCAGCTATGGCAGACTGCAGTCATGGGCAGTTGCGGTCTCTTACACGTCTCTCCAGCTGCAATCCAAAATTAGTGTTGAGGGGAGGGAAAGGCCTACCCATCACAAGCTCTGTGGGAGGAGGCCTGAGATCTCTGCGGTGCGCTTGCGAAGAGACAGAAAAGCCTAGTGCTCCCCCTAAAACCACATCCAGCAGCTTTTCGCCCCCTGTCTTGTGTGTGTGTTCTTCTGAAGTGTGTCCTTGGCTATTTCGCTTCGAGCAGAGTTCTTGTGAAAGACCACTGTTCATTACTCAGCATTTGACAGTACATCTGTGCTTTTTGTATGGGTAAACAGTGTTTGTTTTTACAGTGTTTATGAGATTGTGTCATTTTAGGTAGCCCCCCCCCCCCCCCCCCCCCCCCTCCCCCCCTCTTGAGGTTCCAAAGAGACTGAATTCCTTGTTCTTCTGTGTATTGTTGTTCATATACAGTTGTCTAGATTCCACTTGTGACTATAGGATATTGGTAAACCTATTTTAATGACACTGACTGTAAAGGTTTTTTTCTGTCATGTATTTTGAAATCTGATCATCTATCTGTCTAATACATGTTATTTAGGCACATAAATTGAGATTTTTTTTAGTGTCAGTAAATTAAATCTCAATGTATCGAGTATCAAAACTTTACATTCATTGTTGCATTCATTGGTTAAATTTCTAAAGTCAACGTGAATTGCCGTTCGCAACCCATTTTACTTTTGTAATCAGATGTATTTCCAAGTGAAACGTGATATTCAATAAGTAAAAAAACTATTTAGGTTGGGAAATTGATTGGATTGTGAAAAGTGGCCATTTATAAAAGGGAATGAAGCCAGACTGAATGCAATTTTTCTGAAAAAAATGCCTAAATAGCTCTTTGGCTATTGGTTAAGATTATCCATTAGCCAATTTTTCAGTGACATCTGTGAAAAAAGTTGGTTCAGAGGAAGTTTCAAGTTTGAGCAAAGAGTTTTTTCCTTTATAAAAATAACCAACAGATCATGCAAAATTAAACTAGAAATGTGCGTTAAGAAAGTAAAAAGGGTGAATTTTGATTTCATGTTGACTCCTCTCAGAATGTCAAGATGGATAATATTAGAAGTAATTGTTCTTATGCTGACTCTCAAAACTGCAAAATTAGCTTTAGTACAACTGTTCACACAAAGCACGATAACTACAGTTTTAATAATTGTTCTAATTCTTTGAGAATACTGGAATCAAGATCACAACAATAACAATAACGACACAGTGGAATGATATATTTGGAATCACTTTCAGATTTTTTTTCTCTCGATTTGATGAACGATAAAAACATTGACAGCCAATCAGAATCCGTCGGGGGGACCTTAATATAGTTATCGTTCTTGGTGTAAACGGGCCTTAAACTTAGTTCTAGAGACTAGATCAAGTCCCTTCTGTCCTATGCTAACATATCTTAAAACTCTAGATTAACAGAATTAAAAACAAGTAACTAGATCAATGGCATTTGATACTACTTAGTTTTGTGAAAGTAAGCTATATTTGAGTACATAAAATAGAGGTAAACCAACACAAATCTACCAGAATCACAGTAATGCAGACATATTGGTACCAATTCTTAGTAAGCAAGCATCCTGAAATACTTAGATTTTGCTAAAAAAAAAAAAAAAACCTGTGTGAATCCTAAATGGTTTGAGATCTAAAGTCTCAACCATCATTAGTCTCTGAGAGCGAGAGCAGAAACGTTGTCAGGTCCAGTATTAGAGCTAGAGGCATTGTTGTAAAAGCTTATTTAGTCTGAATGTCAAAAACGAGACTGATGAGTGCCGGGTGGCGTGTATTCGTTGAAACTCAAACTGATTCTGGATCAGCTGTCCACATAGACATATACCTGTGAGAAGTATTATTTATCAATAATATAAAAGTGAATAAAAATGAAATTGACTGTTTTTGCCTGTTTTTATGCTTTCCGTTTAAGCAGACATACAGAAACATCTTAGTTTACTGTACATTTAGCCAACATTATTTATCCAATGCATTTTGTAGTTGCAGGAACCATTAGCTTACACAATATCCACATTCTACACAGAATCTTTGAACTGAGAACTTTGACAAGGGATCAGCTAAATGTATACATTCGGGACATGTATTATTGATATGGTTACATGAATGGACTACTCTGAATTAAACACTTGCCCTGAGGGTGGGATGAGATGAACTTCCTGTCAGGCATCCCACAAATACTGGCTTTTTATTTAACAAAAAAAAATCCACTGCAACAAAATGTTGACATATTTTGGCATATTTGTGTAAAATGGGCGTATCTAATTTTTTAGTGTCATCTAGTGGTGAGATGAAGCAGCTCAATTCATTAGAACCAAGACAACAGAAACACATTGGCATATTTATTTCAGAGTCTGACAGTCCGTTTAGCAGCATAAAGAAGGTCTTGAGGTATTTATATATTAATTTGCAGGTCATTCACCAATACATTCACTCACATAGACATTCAGTATACAAAATACAGACACACACATACATACATACATGCATACAGATACGTCCTCCTACATGAACTTCAGACACTTTCACCATCCTGTGCATAAAGTCTGTGGCAAATACATGGCAGTAAGCCTGTGCTTCTGGGGGAGTTTAAGGCAGACTCCCTCAGTGAAGAAGCTTTGGCTGTTGGGAGAAAAGAAGAGCAGATGGTCAGGAAAAGGATCTAAATTCAGAGCCGAGACTCAACCACTGTGCTGAATTAAACCTTGATGATTCATCTTAACAGACTATCAATCTGTGACTTCCTATACTTCTTGTTCTCTCTACCACAGTGTATTTTTATCCTTGCAGTGTTGAAAAAGTAAGCTTAGGCAGTTTTCTTCAACAACTTTAAAGAAATTTATTTTGCTAACAGAGAGAATTATGTGTCTACCAAGAGATGCTTGAGCTTCCTGACCCCTATACATTGGTACTATTATTTACCACAACACTTAAAAACACATGCTACAACCACTTAAAAGGTACACTCTGTATTTTTCATCATTGAAGTATTTGACTAAAGAAATCAATAGTTATTTTAAAATCATGTGCACTCGCATTACATTACATTTAGGAGGCTACTAATATGATTCATCTGATTAGATGAATCATATTAGTAGCCTGCTAAAATGAATCTTTCTTAACCATTTCTTTGTTTCTTCGCCGTTTCTAGCATTTCTTCAGTTTTTCAGTAAATATGTTAAATAAATATAGATCATTCATAAATATTTTACATAAAATGTTGTTTAAAGTACCGGTAAGAAAGATATTCTTTTATGTTCAGTAGAAAAAAGAAACTAATACAGAATTGGAACAAATTGAGGGTGAGTAAATGTTGACAGAATTTTTGGGTGAACCATCCAATTAAACTAACAATTAGCAGTTTCAAGACCATTTATGTAATTGGTATTATTATCTGAATTAATTCAAATGACAAACAGAAACAACGGTCAGAATCAACGAAATATGAGCGTTAACTAAAACTAAAAAAAACTATTAAATATCTTTGGGGAAAAAAAGCTGAATTAAATTACATGTATTAGATGAAAAATAAATGAAAGTTTGCAATGATGCCTTGGCAACTAAATAAATTAAAGCACTAATATTCCTAAAACTGAAATAAAAATAAATTAAAGCTATATAGGAATATTAAAAAACGAATAAGTACTGTGGCGAGGGGAGCGTGGTTATGCGAAGTCTGCAGCGGGGGAACGAGTGCGGAGACGAGCGGTGATAAGGAGGAGGTCAAGAAAATGATGGCTAACACCTCTCTCTATTGCTAGTGATTGGCAGAGAGACACATATGAGCAGCCCACACACCTGGGACGGGAGAGAGAGAGACCTGTGCTACACTGTTGGACTGTTTATTTTTGATGTACAAGGTGCCTGACTGAGTTTATTTGCAGCTTGATATCGAGTTAATGAAAGACTTGGATTACTCGCCACCCCGACTTCTTCGTCAGTGCTATCTTAATTTGAACCTTTTACAAGTACATAATTTTCTGTATGAAAATATGAAAACTGAAAAAAAAGGAAAAATTAAAACTAATAAATACTATAATACAAATAGTATTTAAATTATAAAATAACTGCACCCCTCCGCACAGTAAAATGTTGAAAAATGGCCTAAAAATCAAGCTTTGTAAAAAAATAAAGGAAACTATTCAAGGAAACTACTTTTCTATTCATATTTAGTGTCGTCTTTTAAGACGTTTTTTTTTTTTTTTTTGGATTAGAGATTCTTATGAGCCATTAAAACTAGGCAAGGCTGTATCTCCATATTTCTCCCAGAATTATGTGATGAAATTAAGACATACAGAGAAAGTAGATAATTGATAATGTCAGTGTAAGTCCATGACAACATATCAGCCAATGCAACAAAAATAAAAAATTACGGAATGCAACTTTTTAGGCTTTTAAACTACTGATAAATGTGATAAACATACCGTTTGTGCAGCCAGTTTCTTTGGCAGACTGTTGGAGGTTGAACCTGGTCTGCCATCCCCACCCCAGGACACCAGGCCGGAGTGAGTCTGGGAGAGAGAGGAGAGGACATTGGGTTTAGGGGCATATGAAGTGTTTTTGGGGGGAGAGGCACCGCTGGTCTTACGTTTCCTGCCAGGCCCTTTATGCTCATTCCCAACAGCCCTTTGATTGAGTCCTGAGGCCCCTCCCTTATCAGACTCCGGGGAGGGAGAAGGGGAGATGTGGGCAGGACTTTGCTTAAGCAGCCCTTTCATTTCAGGAGGGCGTGTTTTGCTGCCAGGTGAGAGAGCACCATTGAACGGGCCATGGGGTGAAGAAATCGCATTTCTGGTCAAGGAGGACTGGCGGTCTCTGTGGTGGGGGAGAAACAGGATTTTTGACTCTCCAGGCAAGTCTTTGTCCTCTTTGGGAGATTTTTGCCGTTTACTGGCTGCAGGACTCTCCCGAAGCTCCCTGAAACTCGCCTGCAAAGCCTGTTTGCTGGTCCGACCTGCAGGGTTACGTTGCCGGCCGGGGCCTGAGGGCATCTGGGCTTTCGTTGGAAGTCTGGAGGCGGCTGTTAGGTTAGTGGGCTGTGATTGTCCTGAGGTGCTTGTCCTGAGAGTAGAGGCGCTGCGGACGGGTACCGAGCCGCATGTGGCATCATGGGAATTATAAGTGTTTGTGGTGACTAGGGGTTGATGAGAGCATAGATCTGACACCTGAGGGAGTTTCCTGCAGATAAAAGATTTTACTTACAACAAATAAAATTCACAGGAAAAAGAACATTCCTGAACACATATTTTAAAGCAACTAATTTTATAATTAAAATTTGAAGAAAATAAATTAATGAAAAAATAATTAATACATTTGTTAAAAAGAATAGTGGCAAATTAATAAAATACTAAAATATTAAGAAATTTATTTTTCAATCAGTTTTTTTTCCCAATCAATTTATGTTGAAGTAATGAAAAAAGAAATGAAATAAAAAAAGATGAAATAAAATATTTCAGTTAGTCAAGTTTTTATCTAATATTTATAAGTTGAAGTACTAAAATTAAACAGTTTAAATATTTTTAAAAAATGAAAGCTATATGGAAATACTGAGAAAATATTAAGCACATACAATTATTAAAATTTAAATGATAAAAATAAAAGCTAATTCAAAATATTCTATAGTAAGTATTTATTTACAAAATTATGGTAACACTTTACTAAAAGGTTCTAATAGTTAACATTAATTAAAATGAACTAACAATAAAAAATAATTCTAAAGCATTTTAAGTTAATGTTAATTCCAACATTTCCTAATAAATTATTAAAATCAAAAGTTGTATCTGTTAATTAATGATCCTGAGCTAACATTAACTAACAATGAACAGTTGTATTTTTATTAACTTTTATTAACGTTAACAAATATTAACAAATGCTGTAACAGTTGTATTGCTCGTTGTTAGTTAATATTAGTTAAGGCATTGACTAATGTTAACTAATGGGACCTTGTTTTAAAGTGTTACCAAAATGACATTGAATCAAATAAGGTAAATACAAAAAAAGAAGGATTTCTCGGCTCGGTGTTGAAAACACACAAAATAAGCATTATGAATGTCACAGCCTGATGTTGTAAAGCATCTTACTTCCACAGATAAGTGCTGAGGTGTTGCTCCATCATGACACTGAAAGCTGACCGCAGGTGGAGCAGCCTTCGGTCAAACGCTAAGACACTACGGCCAAGCACACGTGCCCCGAAGGTGCAAAGCTGGGTAAAACATGAGAGAGGGGACAAACATGGGTTCATTTTTCTCCAAATGTGATATTATGAAATGAAACTATGTATTTTGTGTAACCTTTGTTATCAACACCCTCTTACATAAAGATTTTGCGGGATTTGTAGCAGTTTAAAAGAATTTAGATATGAAGGGAAAGACTTACACCCAGGGGCTTGGGGTGCAAGGTACTAGCTGGCAGATGAGCAAATTCCTCACGGTTCTCCCCATCACTCTCCTCACTGGAGAGACCGGCTGAGAGAGATTCCACCTGCATTTCCTCAGAGCGCATCACATCCTTCATCTCTACAACACCCTCTGATGGATTCATGGACCTGTAAACACACGTTCAGATAAATGTCCTGTCCACGTATCGTATACGCTTGAAAGCTTCAGTCTCCATTCACATTCAAATTCAATTTCTAGCTCATTTTACCAGGTACACTGGAATATTTTTAACCACAGAAAGCAGCCGAAGTACAGACCTGAGAATAGAAGAGTTAGTCATTTGGCTTTTGTAGTGCAGAGGCCCAATCTGAGACGCAGGATTCTCATGGTGGACAGAGCCTCCATCGGGGACCTCTCTGGACAGAGGGGGGCGCTCTCGAGGCTTCGAGCTCATCTTCAGCTCCATTACAAGTTGGTCAAAGGGTTTACGCCTCCCTACAACCTGCCGACGTTGATGGATGGAGTGAATCTGCGGTAGAGGAGATAAAATAGAAATGACAGCTAGAGCTGAAAGCAAAAGCACTCAAATACGTATGTTAGTGTGCTTTTTTTCTGTATATTGACTATATACTCACATTACAGGTCAGCAGTCTGGTGCACAGTTTCTTTCTCTCAGGATCCATCACCCCACAGTGCTTGTCAAAGTCACATTCTTTCTCTGAAATAAACAAATTGGTTTCAACAAGAGAAATCACCATTTCAAGCAAAGCAACCACTGTAACCAAGTAGATTTGAAATGTTTAAGGAACAAGTAAAATACAGTCAGGTTATGTTTTTAACACTGAATGAATAATAATTTATGCATCAATATAACATACACTACCTTTGAAAAGGCTGGGGTCAGTATTTTTTTTTAAAGAAATTGATACTTTTATTCAGCAAGGACTAAAATTAATTTATAATGTGACATTTATAATGTTACAAAAGATTTATATATATATTTTTAATTACTTTTCTATTTATCAATTTTTCCACAAACATTAAGCAACACACCTGTTTTCAACATTGATAAAACTAAGAAACGTTTTTTGTGCATTAAATCAGCATATTAGAATGATTTCTGAAGGGCCATGTGACACTAAAGACTGGAGTAATGATGCTGAAAATTCAGCTTTTCCATCAAGAAGAATAAATCATCTTTTAAAAAATATTTTTAAATAGAAAATGGTTTTAAATTGTATTAATATTACTGTTTTTACTGTGTTTTTGATCAAATGAAATCAGCCCTGGTGAGCATAAAAAAATGAAAAAAAAACATACTAAAATATTTTAATTAAAACTTAATGTTTCATGATCATTCCATGGACATTTTTGAGTGGTGACAAATGATAATTTACATGGAACATATTTAAGCAGATTCTGAATCTATTTAAATGGATAATTTGAACAGATTCACAGAACTAACAGAATTAAAACTCAATTTTGCTACTGAAGTTTAAAATCGAAAAAAATATATATATTATGGGTTGCATCAAAGACGTACTAAGGACTTTCTTGTAGGTTCTGCTGTATGTTTTTGGTCCGTGCAGGTAAGCGTGTGAATCCAAACTCTTCTGGATTGGTTTCTCGGCTGATGGAGGTGCTTTTTTTGGTGGGGTGGGCAAATGTGGAGGTGATGGAGGGGTTCCATGGGAAATTTTATCCACATGCTGAAGACTGGAATATAAACGAGATGACACTGAAATAAACAGTGGATGTGTAATATCAAGTTAAACTGAACTTCACTCCTTCTCACCTGGGTCCCTCACGCTGTGGTTTGGAACGTCTCTGGTGCGGAGAATGAGGTGGTGGGACTCGTGGGGGTCCAGCCCCCTGATGCCTGCTGTCTTGACCCTCACAGGGGCTGCAGTGTTGGGAGGGGGGTGTCCCATGTTGGGGTCGGTCAGGAGAGCAGTTTGATGGTGTACCGTAGACCTTGCTGAAGGGGCCATGCCGTCGCTCACAATGCTTCTCAAAAGCCTGTGGCTTCACGACCTGCCCACAGTGGCTGCACACCACCAGGAAGAAGTCATCATGTGCTGGGCAGTGGCCATATATCGACATGTCTGTGAGGGGAAGAAGATTTTTCTTTTTTACGCATGGCAAGATTTTACTTTGAATGTCAAGATCTTGTCACTCGTCATCAATGCAATCTGTTAATCACAAGCCTAACGAACTCTTCCTTACCTTCTTTCTTGAGAGTCATAGTTTCCATCCGTTTCTTCACATTTTTGCTGCACTCTTCCAGAGAGGACCCTAAGAGAGGCAGTGAAACAAACAGACCATCAAAACAGGAAATTAAACCTCAAAGTACATTTGAATTAAGCATCTCCTCTCTGATGATCAGCAGTTCTCAACTCCAGATGGATGGATGGATGAATTTGAACCGGTTTTAACCAGCCACTGACACACATTAAAACATGTGTTTCTGTCATTTTCCAGCATTAAAATGTATGATCTGCCTTCACAGAGAGATCATTGGTACTGTACTATCATACTTCATATTCAGTCATATTATTTATCTGACTGCACTGACGCAATCAGATGACGATTTGAACCCGAGCGTTGATGTGGGTGTGGTGCCATTGGTTAACATGTTGTTGGTCTACATCTTTTCCAAGCCATTTTTGTAGCGATTTAATTAAGTTTAATTATTTTAATAGAACATTATTCATAACTCATTTTAAGTCACATCCAGCTCCAGCTGTAACTTGTTAAGATGGGCAATCGGACTTCCAGGGTGGGCTGTACAATTGTAAAAGGGGTTGAGGTCAAGCTCAGGATGGGGTCATTCCTGTGCTCTTCTCTTGAAAGTTTGCTGAGGCTCCCCAGTTGAGAACCACTGGCTTAGACACGTCTATCAAATATCAAAGCAACAGTGCTGAATGTTCTCATTTCTAATGGCCACAGCTCACTGCATTCATTAATGTGGGTCATTTCCTGCATTATATAAACCATATACATGAGAAATGCCATTCTTATTTTTTAATCAGCTGATCAGTGCGACAGATGATGAAGGACCATCTCAGTGTTGTATAAATAGATGTAATGTAATGTAAAGAAAAGGGAGAGCAAGGGCAGTTTGATGTGAAGATGCAACTGACACCGTTCCTGGCAATTCCAAAAGGAAATATCAGCCCACCGTTTCATCATGATACTAACACTGCATGTGAATAATGAGATGTTCTCACGGCGACGAGAACAACTATAAATCTGGAAGTGTGTAAATGGATTAAGAGGTTTATCTTGATAGTTTAGTGGCCAGAGACTCGTCTCCACCTTCACTTCCCGTCGCGCTGGCTGTCAGATTCACATTAACGTTAGATGACATACTGAGCCGCATCTTTTGTCTTTAAACATCAAACCAACACGACAACATATAAAAACAATTCAGGCACATTACAATCACATTTTCAAGAATGTACATTTTAGGAAAGGGAATATTCATCGGCTAAACGGAGCGCTAGGACCTGGGAGATTTTCCGAAACTATCGTGTTTCGGTCTGCAACCCGTGCGGCGCTAGGACCCGGCGGGGCCTTTGTTTGGGTCGTGGTGGCCGGGGTTTGCTCTTTTCAAACGAATCCATTTCCTGTGCTCGCTCGAAGCGATTACAACCGAAAGTATTGAAAGCTCGACTTTGATTTACTCACCGTCCAATGTAGATACAGTCGCTTTTTCGATCCAAGTGGTCCAGCTTTGCCCTACAAATTCAAGGATGGAAATTCGCCGATCTAGGGCAGCCATTACCGTTTTAGCGCGTGCACGACCCGCCACCATCACGACGGGAGCGCATTGCGACGTCATCTTGCGCGCTCACGGTCACGGCGGATACCGTAGCGATGGGAAGTCGACTCATTTCTGCGAGCTGGTTTCAAAGAACGACGTCCCAAACAATATCACACGCAGGCATATATTGCTTTTACTGTTAACTTTATTGCTTCGTATGCGTGCTGTTAAAACTGTCATAAAATCAAGTAATATAAAACAGTTGATTAATCGCAGCACATTAAGGCAATTGTTCTGTGTTACAAGGAAATGTTTCCATATGCAAATTAGACATGGTTGATTAAATATGCACTCATTTATAGATTTCAAACACAGGCATCTGAACATTCGATAAAGCCAGGTTCAAAATTTTTGTTTCATTTTTGCTGACATTAGAATTGAAGGTTTTTGCCTGTGGTGTTACCTTCAAATAACGTTTTCCCATCAGTCAAACGCTTTACTATTAGCTTAGAAAGAGAAAACTTGTTGAATCGATATGTGCTCTGCTCAGATCGATTCAGTTAGATTCGTCATTCGTGAACAAGTCGTTCAGATCAGATGACTGAAGCGGTTCAATGATTCATTGAAAAGATCTAACTCAAAAGAACAATTCGTTTTGATAGTTTCATGCTAATATCCTTACACTTGAAACTTTGGAAATAGCCTACCCATATAGGAAATACCATTCCCCCCCCCCCCCCTGTATATTACATCATAATATGTAAATTCGTTAATAAAAACATCACACAACATCAACAGCTGCACAAGTCCACAATAACGCTGTACTGTCTGTGAGCATTAAAATAAGAAAGATTTTACATTTCGTCTAATGAAGAAGATGCCTTGCCTTTTATACACTTGCATAAGTAAACTAGAATTAGAAATTAATTTTCATATGGAAATTACCTATTTGAAATTAGAAGTACACAAGTCAAAGCACAAATGCACAATAATAGCAAACCATGATTTTTTTTATTTTAAAAAAAGCCTCTATCTTTGTTAAACACAAACAAAACAGTTCTTCAATTCGTTTTTAACAACAGTCTTGCCTGGTTTGATGTAAACATTTCTTAAAAATAGGCTAAGTTAAGTTATAAGGCACACAGTTTAATTAATAAAAGGACAATTTAAAAATTAGGAGTACAGTGGAAATGTAAAATGAGATGAACTTAAACACAACTTAGTACTCATGCATCCTCAATTGTTATAAAAGGGAACATCAAAACAACTCCAGAATTCAAGTTATATATTCAATTCAAAATATGTCAATGAACAGGAGTCAAAAACATTCCATACATTTTGTTCATGTAACAAGTTTAACTGATATAGAAATTTAACAGTAAAGAAATGAAATGTAACATTTTAAAGATGCAGTTTACTTCTTACAAACAGGCTTATGATAAGGGGCCCTTGTACCTTCTCTAAATATTATGCAAATATTTGAATATATTGAAGATATACCTTTGGTGTGCGTTTGTGACACAGGTCACGCCAGGTAGATCCATAACATCAGTCGACCGCGGTGGTATGTAGCACCACTTTAATACTGCAGCAACACCTGCTTGATGAATGTGGATATGACCTGATGTTTAATTATGGCTGTCCTGCTCCCTCTTGCTGATTGGCTGATTTGTGTAATGGCGTCTCCTTGTAAAGGAACCAGCAGTTTCCTCCCCACAGGATACAGTTGAGGAATCCAAAGATCTACAAAGATTCATAAATTCATGTTCACTTATTTGTTTTTAATTAATTTGATTTATCTTTTTTTTTTTTTTTTTTTTTTTAAATCAAGTTAAAAAGAAACATTATATCCACATAACTACAATCAGAGCATAAATACCGACAAAGGATAGTAATAAAAATATGTGGGAAAACAGGATGAATAAATCTGTTAGTCTATTCGGTCATCTCTGTATAATGTCATTGGTTTAGTATTTTGCTATACATTATAATTCTCTTACCACTGAGGAATTGAGGCGGCCCATTATGGGGGTGTGCCCAGCAGTGCAGTTTAATGCTCGTTTACACACGTCAGTTAAGGACACAAGTGTATTTGGACTGGTTGCCCCTTTCACATCAGTGAGGCCTTTTCCCCAGGCAGATGAACACACTAGCCAGAGAAACGTGAAGATCCCAGTTAACAGTAGATCCTAAGGAGAGTAATACATGTAAATACATATCAACATGTAAATTATATAGACACACACATTATAAATTATTATTTTATATACAGTACCGGTCAAAAGTGTGAAAACATTACTATTTTTAATGTTTTTGAAAGAAGTCTTTAATGCTCATCAAGCCCTTTACTTGACCAAACATACAGAAAAACAAGTAATATTGTGAAATATTATTACAATTTAAAATAATGGTTTTCTATTTTAATATATATATATATATATATATATATATATATTAATTAATATATTACTTTGAAATATAATTTATTTCTGTGGTGCAAAGCTGAATTTTCATTACTCCAGTCTTCAGTGTTGATGATCCTACAGAAATCATTCTAATATGCTGATTTGATACTCAGTTATTATCAATGTTGGAAACAGTTGTGCTGCTTAATCTTTTTTTGGAACTATATCAGAGCTCGAGTTGAAGCTGCTTCATCGAGCCCCTCTCCGGTGGACAGCAAGCCAAATAAGTTTAACCTAATATCTTAAAGATTTTATGGGCAAGCAAACTCGTTAAAGTTCATTCTCCAAACTAGGGATGTTGAAATCCAGCAAAATACAGAATACACTAATAAAATGAAGGCCAGAAAGTTTATAAATAAACTTATCAGGCATGCAGTGGCTGGATTTCATTTGTCGTACAAAAGCGTGAACGTCTGAGTCAGCCATTGAATATGAAAGTGAATTTAAAGGCATGCACAGACAGAGGAGGTTTAAGAATGCACAGATAACTCTTAAAATAGCTACATGAACTTGAACCAATACACACTCACAATGCTGGGGCCGCGAGGAGATTCGCGGTAGAGGTGCTGGTAACCCAGATACAATACAAGAGTAGCTGTGCTGTACAGGAAAGCCAGAACTCCAACAGCAACAAAGAACTCAGCTGAAGATGAATAATCTCCAGTCAGTTGTATGGTTTTAAACATTGCTCCACTCTGTTCGCAGGTTGGGACCTGGTAACTGCGGGTATTGAGCCTTTGTATCAAAGAATAATAAAGAAGGAAATTATGAAAAGGCAGAAATTCAAAAACAACAAGAAGTTGTATTTTAATTGTTTACCTAAAAGGGTAGTTGAAGGATGCATTTATTTCTTGGCTGGTACTGTTTTTGTTGCACAGGATGTTGAAACTGGTAGAGCCAGAATAACCACTAGTTGTAGCAAAAGCAAAAATGGCGAATATCTGAAAAAACAGTTTGTGAATGCAAAGAGGTGAAATTAATAAATGAATAAATAGATATGGTTCAAATGGAAACCAAAGGAAGTGTGCAACTGTGCGTTTGATTTCATAGCCCTGAGACCACCATATGAAGAAATGTAAATATTTATAAATGTAATGTATAAATGTAAATATAATATAAACAAATACAACCTTTGATTTTAATAACGTATTAGTAAATTTTTAAATTAATATTAACTAAGATTAATAAATGCTGAAGAAGTATTGTTCATGTTAACTAAGGTAGTTAACTAATGAACCTCAGTGGCGTAACTATCGGTAAGCAGGGTACGCGGTTGCTTACGGGCCCGGACCAATCAGGGGCCCGCTTGACTGGAAGATATTGATTGACAGCCGGGGCCCCCTATCGCATATTACTACTTTTAGTTTGATCGCATTTTACTTTATCACAATTTTGTTTTAAATAAATAATGACAACAACATATTTTACAGATCATTAAATACATGTGTGAAACGAACAATCATGGATTTTGGTGTAATTTGTTTTGAGCTGGGACTGGGGAATCCCCGGGTCGGCTGTTTAACGTTACACGCGCGCGCCACTTCATGCGTTTTCTCAGATCGGATAGCTACTGATTTATCAAAACGATTCCATTTACAGCTGGTCACATATGTGTTTTTGCAAAACAGATATAAATCCGATCTTCAATTTCCGCGCTATATGCAGATTTAATAGAGTTCACGTCACCGAAAGCAACAGATAAGCTGCATTTTATTGATCATCAGCTAAAATTTCTAAATCGAAGACCGCAATTAGAGAGAGCGGCAACAGTACTGGTAAGATCATTTCGTTTCTTTTAATGAAGATGATTGTGTGTTAAGCGAGCGTCTGCGACTTACTTTCACTTTGATTTGAGATATAGTTTGTGCGTTGGCTTGATGAATAGATGCTCATCTGCGGTGATGCGTGTTGTTGCAGAAGCATCGTCATATCTGACTATGACATATAGCCTATAACACGCTCTCACACGTTTATTTTTTTTAGCATTTTTAGAGGAGTAAAATTGACATGTGGTTTCAACAACCAGATGCATTTACACTTGTCCAGTGTCGTCTGGAATGCGGCCCAGACCACCTCCTGAAGTGGTTTGAGCGACCGGATTCAAATCCGTCTCGAATGCGTTTCGAAGGGAATTTACATCTGGTCTTTTCACGATCGGATAGCTATACGATATACGATATATCACAGAAAAAGCATGAAGTGGCCAGGTGTAAACAGTTCCTTGCGTATTGCATGCAAAAGCCTACTCGTGGACATTGCGTCATCACGTGTTGTAGTAGGGGGCCGCCTTGATAATCCTGCATAAAGCCTTGTTTATACTCGACGCGTCCGCAAGAGCGCGAAGTGCGCGCGGCAAAAATGACGTAATTGCGGTGTGGGCGGTCGTGCGCGTTGGGTGCGCAAGACCATATTATGGCAAGCCAAGAGGGTCAGAATTACGCTATAGATTAATCGCGTTTACAGCCAAACGCCGTAAAATACGGCGTTTTAAAACGTATTTCGCGCGTTTTTTACGCCGTTGTAATTACAGACGCCGTAAAAAACGCGCGAAATACGTCAATGACGCCGTATTCCACGGCGTATTTTTGTTCATGGAAAGCGCCGCTTTTTACGACGTTCATCTTGCCATATGACGGCGTAAAAAACGCCGTTTTGGTTGAACAGAGCGCGCGTTATTTTACGGCATTTTGCTAATAGTATAATGAGTCACGCCCACTGTTTTACACAGCCAGTAAGTTTGAACTGTTCTCTCCCAATCAATGATGAACTGAGTCAGACCAGACCAATTCAGCACGTATTATTATAGCCAAAGATCATTCGAATCTGTGAATGGTTTATAATTTGTTGTGTATAGCCTACCTACACTCACAATAAAAACAAAACATTGCTTGTATAATGAAGAAAACAAGCAGCTTTCCTTTCCGTGAACTTGCCTCTCAAAAGCAATCATTTTCACCATGAATCGAAATAAATTTTGTGTATAGATAGGCTATTTATTCCTTTTATAGGCTATGATTTTATCCTGTTTTTTTTTTCTTGTTCACAGAAGTGCTACAGGTGCATACGATGATGCTTCTGTTCTTTATGCAGCTATTTGTGCATGCAGGCTAAAACTAAACCCCTGGAAAAACATGTTTGTGTGTTTTAATGGGTCACAGACACGTGTAAATTTTAATTTAACAATCTTGTCGGTTAATGAATGGAGATGATCGCGTCGGTTGAAGGTCAACCCCTAAATGAATCCAATTTGTTGATAAAAGGAAACATTTCTAATTTTCGTTTAGTTTAAGTTGTTCAACTAATACTTATATTTTCCTTTATTTCCGGTTTATGTCGATTAGCATAACTGTTTTTAATAGTTTTAGTTTTAGTAAACTAACCCTGAACATCCACAGATCTGTAGCCTAAATTTTGCTATTTTAAGACACTAATATTTACAAATATATAAATGTTTGTCATAAAATAATTTAACAATGCATTATTTTTATAGGCTAACTAACCTTTTACAGTTTTGGATAAAACAGGCCTACATTTTTTGCATAATCTTTGCTTAAAAAATAAAGCATTCATGAATTATTTAATGATATAGGCCTAAACCTATTACTTAAGTGAACTCGTTTATAGTTATACACTCAAATATTGATAATAACAATAATAATTATTATTATTATTACATTTTAGGCTACATATTTAGAAGACATTTTTGTCCAAAACTTACAAGAAAGGAACAAAGCAATTCGTCAAATGTCAGTCATAATACAGTCACAGTCAGTCAGTCAGTCACAATGTCAGTCTAATAATTTATTATTTAGACAATAATAATAAAAGGCTAGGATTATCACAAATAACCACAAGATTTTGACGCTCATCATTCATATTAAATCGTCTATTCCAGCATATTCCACCATTATTGTGGAGCGCGCTTAGCCTGCATGACATGGAGGCGCCGGTGACTTGCATCACTTTCGTTTTCCTAACAACCATGGAAACAACTTAAAATACTCCCTAATTTCTGGTCATACAGAAAAGAATAATACATCATTCGCAACTAAATATATTTGTGTAAACTCACAATAACAAGAAAACAATGTGCTTTTGTAAAATAACTTTCATGCTCTCCGTGAACTGGATCGCGTCTCAAATGAACTGAAAAACAGCGTATAGCCTCACAGACACAGATATATCGTATATAGGCTATATATAATATTATATATATATAGGATATATCAATTATTTATAAAAATATATAGCCTACTATAGAATATTATTTATATCGTAATCATAATCCGTATGAAAGGTGCATTTCTCTCTGGCGCATCCCCTTTACAGCGGAGATGGAGATATGTTAGCTGCCTGATTTAGAAAACATTAGTTTATTAATAAATAATTAAAATACCTCGTTATTTGTTCAGAAACATTTATTATCATTAGCCTACTTTTGCCGGTGCTTTGCGGCAAGATTTATACATACGCTTTAGTATGGGAGGCTATTCCTCCATGCACCCATTTCTAATTTGTTCATTTAAATGTAATGTAAAAGTCTGAAATGTAATAATAATAATAATTATTATTGTTATTATTATTAGAGTGTATAACTATAAACGAGTTCACTTAAGACAGTAATATGTTTATCATAAAATAATTTATGAATGCTTTATTTTAGCAAAAATTAGGCAAAAAATGTAGGCCTATTTTTCCAAAACTGTAAAAGGTTAGGTTATAGTCTATAAAAATAATGCATTGGTAAATTATTTTATGACAAACATATATATATATATATATATATATATATATATATATATATATATATATATATATATATATATATATATATATATATATTTGTAAATATTAGTGTCTTAAAATAGCAAAATTTAGGCTACAGATCTGTGGATGTTCAGGGTTAGTTTACTAAAACTAAAACTATTAAAAACAGTTATGCTAATCGACATAAACCGGAAATAAAGGAAAATATAAGTATTAGTTGAACAACTTAAACTAAACGAAAATTAGAAATGTTTCCTTTTATCAACAAATTGGATTCATTTAGGGTTTTTTTTCCCCTGCGACCTTCAACCGACGCGATCATCTCCATTCATTAACCGACAAGATTGTTAAATTAAAATTTACACGTGTCTGTGACCCATTAAAACACACAAACATGTTTTTCCAGGGGTTTAGTTTTAGCCTGCATGCACAAATAGCTGCATAAAGAACAGAAGCATCATCGTATGCACCTGTAGCACTTCTGTGAACAAGAAAAAAAAACAGGATAAAATCATAGCCTATAAAAGGAATAAATAGCCTATATCTATACACAAAATTTATTTCGATTCATGGTGAAAATGATTGCTTTTGAGAGGCAAGTTCACGGAAAGGAAAGCTGTTTGTTTTCTTCATTATACAAGCAATGTTTTGTTTTTATTGTGAGTGTAGGTAGGCTATACACAACAAATTATAAACCATTCACAGATTCGAATGATCTTTGGCTATAATGATCCGTGCTGAATTGGTCTGGTCTGACTCAGTTCATCATTGATTGGGAGAGAACAGTTCAAACTTACTGGCTGTGTAAAACAGTGGGCGTGACTCATTATACTATTAGCAAAACGCCGTAAAATAACGCGCGCTCTGTTCAACCAAAACGGCGTTTTTTACGCCGTCACATGGCAAGATGAACGGCGTAAAAAGCGGCGCTTTCCATGAACAAAAATACGCCGTGGAATACGGCGTCATTGACGTATTTCGCGCGTTTTTTACGGCGTCTGTAATTACAACGGCGTAAAAAACGCGCGAAATACGTTTTAAAACGCCGTATTTTACGGCGTTTGGCTGTAAACGCGATTAATCTATAGCGTAATTCTGACCCTCTTGGCTTGCCATACCCCATTTCGCCTGGCGGTGTGCACGGCACTTTTTGTAACATCGCGCGCGGCGCCGCATCCGAGGATGAACGACTTCGAGCCGAATCTGGCCGAACTGGTATGTCTGTACCACCATGTTTATGATCCTTCTATACACAGAGACATTTGCATTGATGGGCGACCATAAAAGCCTCTCATTTTGTGAATAGGAACACATTTACATTAAGCACCCAGTTTGCACTTGTATAAAGTAACTGCTTACATTTACAAAATAAGCCTACAATAGCAGAAGTAAGCCCTGGTGATGAAATTAAGGTTTAAACACTCTTCAATAAGGCTTCAGTTGTTTACTAGTTTACATGCAGTGAAAGTACAATAAACCTACTGCATTTATTACTCTTTTTATATGAATCAGAAATTAATAAACTACTAATAAATGGCAAACTACTTCTTCACTGCTGATTCCTGGTGGTTTAGAGGAGAATTACTCCGAGTCGCCCCCTGTCGTTTCACAGAATAGCACAACGGCGAGCGCGTCAAGTATAAACGCCTCGTCCATATGGAGAGGTGCGCGCGCAGTCAGCGGAGACTCGCGCTCGTGCGGACGCGTCGAGTATAAACAAGGCTTAAGGGCCCGGTGTTGGCTCGTTACGCCACTGATGAACCTTATTGTAAAGTATTACCAAAAATATCAATAAAAAAAGAATGCGTGACCCTCTGGATTACATGCATGGTAAAATAGTACCAAAAGAAATGTACACAGACAGTACAGTAATTGTTTATAGACACTTTATCTTGAGGCAGTCAACTTCAAAAATAAACTGAGTCATAAACCCCGTGAGTAACGTTAACCTAAAAAAGTATATGCCAGATGTTTCTTAAAGGTAAACGTTTTGAAAAATGGCGTTCTGTGACTCCACGTATTGAAATAATGTTGTGATAATTATATATTTTTTTCATAATAACGTTTGATGTAATTACACAGAATAGCTCAAAAAAATATTAATTGAAAAGCACGTACCCATTCTAATACACGCATGAATCCCAGTGTTTCTTTCAAAGGGCTGAGATCTAGTTGAAATGCGCTCATCATCTTCTGCAAATAAAGCATCAACAGCGGCCAATCAAACAACCGTTACAACTGACAGAAAATGGTGTAATAATCAAACACCCGGAAATATTATGAAACGCGGCTCACTTTGGAGCAGCAGCAGACTCTTTTCTTGTCAAAATCTGAGTGAGTTAAAGTATGTAAAGCGGGAAACGCTGAGACTTTGTTGCACTGCAGAAAAATAAGGCAGATCCAGAAAGATTACCCTGTGTAGTCTATGGTGTACTGTAGTCCCCAGACGAATTTCAAAAAGTTGTCAAAGTTCCTTTCCCTTTCCTTGTTTCTGCACAAGACATGGTTTTGACCACGTGATTCGTGACGTGATTCCTTCCCCCATGGTCATAGTCGAGCTAGAGGGGAAAAAGTGTTGTAGTATTGCATATATCCTGTTTAGTTATCTTATCCTTAATGATTCATTCTGTACTAATTTATTCAACATATATCCTTAATTACCTAACATCGTATCGTCATTTTTTATTATCTTTAGAGCTTGCACAAACATTTCCAACATTTTTAGTGACATTTCTGCGCATTTGTTTGAGTTAAATTGACTTGCAGGTCTTTTTGACAGAATCCCACTGCCATATTCTTCTGTAGTTTAGAATGTTTTTTGGAATGTTGTCATCATTAAACATTTTGGAAATGGAAAAAATTGTAGCTGAAATACCTGCTAAATTTGATTCTAAACAGTCAGTAGCTAATGGTGTCAACATGTAGGAGATTCAAATTGCATATATTTTCCAGTCACACTTGTTGTTGTTGCTATGACACATTTTGCAACAGGAGTTGCAATTGTATGAAGTTTTAACCCATATTATAGTTGAAATAGGTATTAGGCCTATAACTATTTTAACCATGTTATTAACAGTGGATCTCTGAGGGTTAAGCATGTACATAGACATTTCTTTATGCCACTTTAATTGGCATTGCGTATTTTAACAACTTTGTGAGTTATGTGAAATGAGCATGATGTAGTAAATAATTAGATTTGTAGCTAATTTGTGTCAAAAGTATTTCTATTTTCTCGTCTCTGGAATATAGGGAAGACAAAGAACAAGATGGGGGAGCTCGGGGCACAACCTACATTTTGGTTTTGGCTCAATTATTAAAAAAATAATTAGGTTAGATCAATCTTTTTTTTTTTCACAAGCAACATACACATCTCTGCCACAAATGAACACTTATCTAGGACCTATACCATTTTCGTACAGTTGCACTGAAAGTGACAGAAGTGCAAATGTAACAACTTACCCATATCCGGGGTTAATTGTAACAGACAGAGGGGATAGTTGTAACAGTAACACACATAATTCAGTACCATTTTATCCATAGTTTGATATTGTTTGTACATATAGATAGATATCCATACATCCATCCCTCATTCAAACATCCTTCTATGGATCAATATCATGGATAGAGATATATGAAAGGGCTGCACTGTTTTGCAATAAATAAATAAAATCATCAAATATTGTAATATTGAATTATTGTGTGTAGCAGCTGCATGCAAAATTATTATTATTTATTATAACAGTAATAATAATAAAAACGAGCTCAAAATCACATTTTAAAGGGTTTATTGCATGGAAAAACAGGCTTTTTAATAAAAAAAAAACAAGTGATCAAATCAATGCATACCGGTAGTTAACAAAATGTGAAAAAATCATACGTTGACATTTAAATTCCAACATTGTTTGTGAAAGTCACACAAAGTTAAATGTGGCTAAATTAATACATAAATAAATAGCCTACTTAAACCTGAAAAGTTGTGTGGCTCCCTGCTTTCATTTAATTATCGCTGTACTTGGCGGTTTAACACTGTGCTACAACTAACCCCGCTGTGTAAAAAATATTTTAAGCCTATAGGCCTGTAGCTAGTTGCTAGGAGTTGCTGATATGTTTCAAAATGGAGCTATGTTTTAGCAAACAAGACAGTGATTAAGGTAATATAAAGTTAGATTTGGTGACGTACACACCCAACTCAGAAACCGAAAAAAACGTAGGCTATGATGAAAAAATGTACTTGCATCATGGTGTCGAAACACTCTTTGTCCAGTATCTTCACGAAATCTTCACGAAACATTAACAACTATTATTAGGCTGGACCGCACAGAGTCTTAATCCGCCACTGTACTTATAGTCATAGGCTATATTGTCTCATAAATATAATAAAATTCATATAAAACACAAATATAGAATATAAAAAATATTAATTAATATATTAGTCTCAAAAGTGAACTGCATTCAGCGTTGCTGTAGTACGACCATAAGAGGACGCTCTTGTCACGATGTAGGCTATTTCACACCCGAAGCAGCTCAGTGCCTAGAGAACGATAGTGTTCCTCATTCACTTTTACTATGTTATGAAAGGCATTTTTCTTAAATATTATAAAATGCTACTTAATTAAATTTTCCTTGGCATTTATTAACTGAGTAAAATAATGTTAAGTGAACATCATTAACACTGAATGTTGCAAAAATAACGAGTCTCAGGATGCCATATGCACAGCTCATTGGGACTTTCTTTCAGATCCACTTGGGGTAGGCTAATAAAAGCCTTTTTTGTTTACACCTTAACTTTGAAAAGTTACAGCTCTCAATGAATAGGAGGTGCTCAGACATTACAGTCACTACTGAGGAATTCAGGTCACCACGTCTTGTGTGACAGGTTTTTCCACCCATGCCATGCAGAATTGTTTTAATGCACTACACAGTTAAACGCATTTGCGCTGACATTTAGAATTATAATGTCCCTTGAAGAAGCAACAACGTCCATACTTTGCTTTTTTGTTTTTGCGAATGTTATCCGCTAATAGAAGAGACAGGATGAGTATCAATGGGAAGCACGTGGCTCTTGGCCAGCAGTGCAGATCTAGAATGACTGCAGATCAGAATAGGCTTTATGCACAGCTTCACTACTTTCTGAACTTCAGCCAGCTCCTTTGTTTCCTGTCTGCCATTATTGGACAAACTGATTAATCCAGGTGTGCCTGATTATTGTTACTGAGGCCAGGCACACCTGGATTAATCAGTTTGTCCAATAATGGCAGACAGGAAACAAAGGAGCTGCATGGCTAAAGTTCAGGAAGTAGTGCAGCTGTGCATAAAGCCAATTACAGGGCACTAATGGGAGTCACCCAATGGGAGTCACAAGCCTTTTTTCTGTGCCACATGCATGGTTTGATCATGGGATAGGCCAGGGCCTGCCATAAATCATATGTAGGCTACAAACTGGTAAACTGTTTAAAATGTCGAACAGGGTTAAGAAAAATGGCTGAGCAAATAACTGACCTGACCCTTCACTTTCATGTTTCCAAAGTCACTGAAAAAATCTTGTTGGTGTTTTATAATGATAAAATGGTTAGAATCTGGGGGAAGATTCAATAAATTCGTTCATTATGATGACTCAGAGAGAGACTACATGTTGTAGGCTGAAGTGTGAAGTGCATCAACAGATGCTTCTTTCTTCCATGATGCACATTTGAAGGCTATTATTTTCCCTTATGGTCTCACTGAGAATACTGACAAAATGAGTCATGCACTTGCTACTATTTAGGCGCATGAAATGATTTTGCTGTTATAAAAATAAGAAGAAGGTGTGCAAATAAAGTATACAGCTTGTTATTAGTCTTTTAAAGGAAAAACTTTCAGCAAACATTTAAATGTGGAAGATCATGCATGCTTTGGTCACATTATCTGAGAATTGCATTTTTGCTGGGGCAATTAATTAGTAAAAAAAAATTAAATGTGGAAGATCATGCATGGCTCTGGTCACATTATCTGAGAATTGCATTTTTGCTGGGGCAATTAATTAGTAAAAAAACACCCCATGTTGTAAAAAAACCAGATTTTACAACATGCCTTCAGTTAAATATTTGCATAGGACAAATGACTAAAGGACAGTGGGGTTACTCACATTATGATTATAAAGCCGTTAGAGTAATAATTCACCAAAGATAATTTGTACATGAAACGCAGGAGTCATTTTTAAACATTACTGTCCTCGTAAGTGTGACGTGTCAAACTAACTTGACCGCACAGGCTCACGGAAACGTGAATGCGCAGTTATGGACCAATCAGAGAAACGCACCAGTCGCTGCAGCCAATCAGATACAGTCCCTGCAAGGTGCATTCTTTTCACCGTTATTTTTTTATTTTTTTGGGGATGCTCGTTCGTTTTTGAAGTGTTTAACACGAAATACTGTCAAGGATACAGTTTATTCCAGCGTCTTGGATGGTCTGCGATTTTTTTGCGTTCTTGTTAATTATCTAGATAAAAAAAGGGGTGTTGAAATGCTCTCCGAGGAGGCAGCACTAATATGAGCAGCAGGGACCTTTCGCTGTCACAGCACAGGCAGTCTGTTTTTGTTGATACCGCCAGCAGCCGCTCACGAGGGAGACACTGAGAAATTAATGCGTATTTAAACAGCAACACAATCGTGTTGGAAATACACTGAAGAAAAATGCGAGGCCTTGGACACTTTATTGCACTTTTATTTTTTCCCATGGCATTTTGTGTGGATTTCCATGTGGAACCAGGATCCTATAAAGCGCACCGGGTGTATGTAAAGTCTCCTGTAGCCGCCAGAAGTCTGATCGGGACGGGATCGGATGCAGATATTTCGCGGATTCACAGTCACATCCAGAAAAGAAGCGCTGATGAATTAGACTCCTGTAATGGTTTAAAGGAATATGAAACCAAGTTAACTAGCAACACACACAACGTAAGTTTACTCGAAGCACCGATGCAACCCCGCGGCTCTGCCTCAAAACCTAGGGATCTTTACCTAACCCTAGTAATATTAATTAACTACATGTACTTACAATAGGGTTATGGTTTGGTTTAAGGGTTATTTACTTGTAATTATGCATATTGTACTGTCATTACTATAGTAAGTACATGTAGTAACGTGTAACTACGTCACCTTAAAATAAAGTGTTACCCTGTAGTTGTTCTTTAATTGCTAGTGAGTATAAGTATGTGACTATAAATAGTGACTATAAGTATGATGAATATCAAATACATTTGTAATATGGACTAGATACTGGTCACAATTGTATTACTTGCTAAAGAAAAAGAAGTAACTTACCACTAACACAAAATTGATGCTAGTTACGTGTTTTAACGTTTTACAAGATTTTGAAACAGTCTGTCACATTTTGTTCAGCTCAAACGCATTCAAAGTTCTTGTAAAAGCACTTTAGTTTAAATGTAAATACTGTAAAATGGGATTAACAATTCCAGTTTTCTTTTTATATTAGAACATTTTCAAAACCATTAAAATTTCTATATCTCCTGTCATAGCCCTCAGAATAGCCTACGTTTTCTCTTCCATTTCTGTTTTTATAACTATAAAATGTTGACGGTTGTGGTTGAACAATGTCCTTGACAAGTGTAACTTTGGCTAGCAGCAGTTGTAGAACCAGTTAAACTGGTATGACAACCTGTTTTAATATCCACACACCCACACAGAAATAGCCATGCCTTTCTAAAGCATGTTAAGTTTAGCTAAACCATATAATTTATAATACAAACTAGTATAAGTCTTAATATTACAGAATGGAACAGCAAATAATACTGACACTAGTCATTGCAACTTAAAATGACTTCCTTTTCTCTGAATAATTTGTGGTTGCGTCAGATGAGGTGAAACAATCGGGGTAGTTGGTTGTAGTTGGTTGAAACTACACCTTTTTTTTTTTTTTTACACAGTCCTACTGTGGTCTGTCTTTCTGTAGGAAGTTATCATAAATTCAAAAGCTGTGACAGGAACTGCCACAGTTGTTAATCAACAGAAAATAGTCCCAAAGTGTTTTAGAATTATGTGTGTACTGACCTTTCGGTCTTAAAATGATTTGTTCTCGGAGTTAAACAAATCATCTAAACCAGTAGTTCTCAACCAGGGGGCCTCAGCAAACTAACCTCAGCAATAACTATTATTTTTATTGAAAAACATACAGAATCAGAATCAAAATGAATTGTATTTAATGAATTTAATATATCAACACTCCCAATTTCTGTAAATAAAAAAGTTGTCATAATTATATTTACATCAGAAATGCCAGCCAGAGGAAATGTACAATATGGTAGGCCTTCAAATAATGTATCTTTAAATGAGTCAAAAAGATTGAGAGCCACTGAATTATAAAACTGTTGATTTGATGTCATCTTCAAATTCACAATTCATTCCTATTTTTTAATTTCAGTAATTTGTCATGTCAGTCGTCATTGTTCTATTTTCAGTTTCACGGTTAAGTGTCGTGAGTATAGTTGCTAGGTTTCTGATTTAGTTTTTGTTTAAGGTTAGCATGTGCTTTGCATAGGCTGATAATGACTTTCTAGGACATGCAATATTAAAAGCTTCATTGTGTTATTGTACGAAACGAAAAGTCTTATATTTTGTCCATGATGACGCACATTTCAGTATTGGTTTTGTTTAATATTAATAAAATGTGTTTCTTTCAGTGGACTTTTAAAGATATCAGTGGATCCGTGTCTCTGGCCTGGGTGGGGGACGGAACTGGGGTGAGTTTCACTTTTGATTTATTATGTGTACACACTATCATACGCTTGCTGTTCTGAGATGAAGTCTCCGGAAAAAACTTCCACCGTACTAAAAACGCCATTCAAGGTTAGATGAGGGCTCTTTTAGCTTAGGTTTAAATTTAGACTGTCTAGGTAATCTTTGCCGATCTCTTTGGCTGTTTGCAGTCAGTGCTCACAAAGAAAAATAAATACAACTAACTAGTTTGACCTTTCTCTTGCCCTGGTACTACACATTCAAGGCCATGTTGTGAAGTCTTGTTTTTTACTCTGACCACGGCTGCTGTGCACTTTACTGCAATAAAAACAATACTTCGGCCTACACTACCATTTCAAATTTTGGAGTCTGTAAGAAGTCTCTTATGCTCACCAAGGCAGCATTGCTATAATATTGTTAAATATTATTACAATTTAAAATAACTGTTTTCTATTTGAATACATTTTCAAATGCAATTTATTTCTGTGATGGCAAAGCTGAACTACTCCAGTCTTTAGTGTCACATGATCCTTCAGAGATCATTCTAAAATGCTGATTTGCTGCTAATAGGAGACATTTCTTATTTTTATCAATGTTGAAAACAGTTGTGCTGCTTATTATTTTTGTGGAAATCTTGATATTTTTTTCAGAATTCTTTAAAGGGTTAGTTCACCCAAAAATGAAAATTCTGTCAGTAATTACTCACCCTCATGTTGTTCCAACCCCGTAAGACCTTCGTTCATCTTCGGAACACAAATTAAGATATTTTTGATTAAATCTGAGAGCTGGATCACTCCTCCATAGGCTTCTTAAGGGATCGAAACTGACCGGCCCAAAAGTTATGAAAGACATCGTTAAAATAGTCCGAGTGACTACAGTGGCTCAACCTTAAGTTTATCAAGCGACGAGAATACTTTTTGTGCGCAAAAAAACAAACAAAATGTGCGCAAAAAACAAACAAAAATAACGACTTTATTCAACTATTCATTTCCTTCTCTGTGGCCCTCGAGATTTCACATAGTGAAACTACGCAAAGCTTCTAGGTTGTGCATCACACACATGACCAGCATCGGCCAATTGTGAGCCTGCGTGTGACAGAAGCTTTGCGTAGTTTCACTACGTGAAATCTCACTGCCCACAGAGAAGGAAATGAGTAGTTGAATAAAGTCGTTATTTTTGTTTGTTTTTTGCACACAAAAAGTATTCTCGTCACTTGATAAACTTAAGATTGAGCCACTGTAGTCACTCGGACTATTTTAACGATGTCTTTCATAACTTTTGGGCCGGCCAGTTTCGATCCCTTAAGAAGCCTATGAAGGAGTGATCCAGCTCTCAGATTTAATCAAAAATATCTTAATTTGTGTTCCGAAGATGAACGAAAGCCTTACGGGGTTGGAACAACATGAGGGTGAGTAAATACTGACAGAATTTTCATTTTTGGGTGAACTAACCCTTTAATAAATTGGTCCAATAGCATGTATTTGAAATAGAATTTTTTTGTAACATGATAAATGTCCTTGCTGCCACTTTTGATCAATGTATTGCGTCCTTACTGAATGAAAGTAATGATTTCTTTCAAAGAAAAAAAAAAGGTTTGTAAAAGTTTGTGTCAAAAGTAAATAACTGTCTCTATGCCTCAATCTTAGGTAGTACTAGCCCTGACAACATTTCAGGTGCCATTAGTCTTCCTGCGATTTGGTCAGTCTAAACTGTATAGGAGGTGAGTACTGGTTTGAATTGTTTGTTCTTGTAATACCAATGTAGTGTTTGCTTTACTCCATGTCTTTCTCGATCTTCCATTCCTTGTTACAGTGAAAACTATGGAAAGTCATTTGAGGATGTCACAGAACTCATCAACAACACCTTCATCAGCACTGACTTTGGGATCGCTATTGGTCCGGAAAACTCTGGCAAGGTGGGCAAGATATGTCAAAAATCCACCATTTGAATGTCTTCTCCAAATAAGCCCACATGGGCTGGGGAGCTGGATCAGTTTGCTATGTTAAAGCTGTTTCTCATGTTGCTGAATTGGCCTGTAGATACTCAAATGCAGCATGTCAATCAAAGTAAAAATAGACTAATTGAACTTTCTGTTCTTTGCTGATTTTCCGATACTCAAAGCAATTATAGGGATGTGTGACAGCACTTTAAAGTAATCAAAGTCCTGATTTTCTTTCCCTCAGGTGATCCTCACAGGAGATGCTTCTGGAGGCACTGGTGCCAGAATTTTCCGTTCAAAAGACTTTGCCAAGAGTTTCATCCACACAGAACTGCCCTTCCAGCCTCTAATGCAGATAATGTACAACCCTCAAAACTCTGATGTGCTTGCAGTCATCAGCATCAAGGTAAGAGCCTTTGTGTTATTTCTTTATGGGTGTCGAAAAGAAAGTAACTAAGAGCCATTTGATCAGTGAATTTAATTAGTGTAAATGTATACACTTTATTCCACAAAGTTGCATCATGATCACATATTGCATTTAAGTCCTTAGTTTATGACTTAAAAGTTATTGAGTTTCCTGAACTGATAAGAGAAAAAAATGTTGTGCTTATCTAAATGACATGATAGCATATTAACTCTTTGCCTGCCATTGACAATATCTTCCGTCATTTATGGCACAACAATTTTTTTTAATATATATTGACGGTTTACAAGTTCATACAACAAAATAATCTGGGGACCATGAACATTTTGTGAATATGATCAAAGAGTTAAATATACTTATTGCAAATATTTGCTATTCAGTTCCTTCTTAAGTATATTTGTAAAAACAAGAAGATTATATACAAGATAAGAATATATATATACAAGAAGATATACATAGATTGTGTAAATTCTTTTTTCCTTTTGTATGCATTTAAAGTGGTGCATTGCTGCTTTTGAACATTAGCATAATATCATCTTATTGCTGCTGTTTCAGAATGATCTCTGGATCTCTAAAGATTTTGGTACAACATGGACGAAAATTCATGAGATGGTGTGTGTGGTGAAATGGTAAGATCTTTTAATGATTGTAAAACCAACTTATGCCCTTAGAATGTGCTTTGAGTTTGTGAAGACACAAGGGGGTCTGGGTGGAGTGACTTTATATGGTATGTTTTACTTTTGGACCAGTCAGTTTGGGGAGTTCTGTATTGTCTTTTCACGGCTGCACATCCGGAACACACAAAAACACAAACATGCAAATACGGCCACCATGGCAGCAACACGAGACATTCTCTGCTGAGTCACTGTGCTTTTCCACACGGCTCAGCTTTCAAATGTCCGAGGACACTCGGCTGCTCCAGATAAACTGCTGCATCAAACTTCAGTTGGATTCTCCAGGTTGAATTCAACAGTCCCTGGTTTATACATGTCAACAGGGAATAGTTATGTTGACAAGGAAGTTCTGCCAGGCTTATCCTTTATTTGCACAATTAATGTTTGACCAAGGGAGCCAGATCAGTTTGGGCACTCTTTAAGTTTTATATATATATATATATATATATATATATATATATATATATATATATATATATATATATATAGTTCCTTCATACCTCCTCTGAGCAATCCTAACTGATGGAAGGCCTCACCCACTTACTGTACACATGATATGAAGTTCTCACGTGACTTCAGAAGCCAGTAAAGTCAAACCAAAAACATGGGTTGTTCCTGTTATGCCGTTTCTTTTAACTGAATATCATATTCATATTCAAATTACAACACACTATTCAGAATATGCTTGTGTTGAATTTTAAGGATGTATTTCAATATAAGCATATACCAGAGTTTGAGAAACATGCACCATTTAAGCTTAGCCAATTTATCAACTTTATTTATTACATCTTGATTATTTAAACAATGGCAAGAAAATTAACAACTGGAAATAAAGAGCTAAAAGTGAGTGATTGAAAAAATGATTCTTTTCATTTTCAAACAGCCTGGGATGATTTAGAGTGATACCACAAAATATCTCAGAATTCATCAAATTATGATGTTTGTGGTGTTTTCACATCCTTTTTCTTTCTTTCTTTTTTCATTTTAGACTTTGCATAGCACCCAGGAACATGGCATCAGTGCCTCAAACCATTATATTGTAATGTTGTGATAAAAACTTATATAATTTAATATTTTATCCAAGATATTAAGTATGAAAATGTGCTGCATGGAATGGCCCACTTACATTTAAATTTTAGAGACTGTTTTCAGTTATGTTGCAACCTGAAAGGACCTCAACCTGAGTCACTCCCTTAGGTCTTATCTTAACAATAAGTCATCTGATCTGTGACAATTGTAGATATCCTGTTACAACAATGCCATGCATTTTAATGGAGAATCTCTATGCAACCAGTTTCTTGTTGCATTGTTCATGTTATCTATAAATTGAAAATATGGTTTGTGTGGTGATTGTCATAAACTGTCTCCTTCCTTGACATTTTAGTGTTCAGTACGTTTATTATGCTGCAAAGTGCAAACAAGTGACTGATCTGAAGTGAACTGTTCTGAATGCTGTTGTTTTATGAGGTCTCTTGAGTTTAATCTCACAGATCAATTCTCTCTTCATCACTTCCACAGGGGAATGGATACTCTATTCTTCTCCGTCAACCTTAATGGATCCTGCAGTGAGTAATATTTATCAACTTTGTTGATCTAAGGTGTGGTGACACGAATGTGTTCTGTTCTGTCACTAGTATGTGTTTGTATTGATTTCTTATGTGTATTTCTGTACATCTTTGAGCATTAGTTACTGTAATAGTTGACTGTAAAATCAACTAGTTAGTTACTGTAAAGTTGAGTTATTGTAATTCTGAAATGAAAGATTTTAAGATTGTCCTGCCAACATTTTCTAAAATACATGAATTTAAGATTTATACACATATATATATATTTTTTTGAGAGAGAAATTAACTTTTTTAAAGACATTTATAATGTTACAAAAGATTTATATTTCAAATGAATTCTATTCTCTCTGTAAACATTATATTCATCAAAGGATCCTGGAAAAAATGCATCACAAAATATATAAAGCAGCACAACTGTTTACAACATTGATAATAATAAGAAATGTTTCTTGAGCACCAAATCAGCATATAAGAATGATTTATGAAGGATCATGTGACAGTGAACAGTGGAGTAATGAGTGATAAAAAATTATATTTCAAAATATAATAAAATAGAAAACAGTTCATTCAAATTGTAATAATATTTCACAATATTACAGTGTTCTAACAAATGCAGCCTTGGTGACCATAAGAGACTTTCTAAAACATAAAAAAAATATTTAGTGTGTGTATATATATATATATATATATATTATTATTTATTTATTTTAATAAGTATATTTAGTAATATTTAACTAAGTATATTTAAATAACAATAAATTAATATATTATAATTTGCAATAATTGCACTTCTGTTAATTGATTAACATTTTGCTGCAACATATTGGCATATAGTCATTCTTTTGAAGAAAAAATATGTTACCCAGCTAGATATTTATCCAAAATTGCAACAGCAGTTCACAAAAAGTTTTCAAAACATAAAAACACAAGTACATGATTTTTTTTTTTTCAATACAGCAATGATATCAGTCCTGTCACCTGGCCAATGATAACAGTCCTGTCCTGTCAGCGGCCGTCCTTACTGTTGAATCCAACTGAGTAAAAGTGTATACTTTTTAAGCTTCCTTTTCATGATGTTTGGCAATGTGTGCATGTGCTTTTTTGCAAGAGGGGATGTCAGAGGGGATGATGCACACACAGGGCGTGTGTGGTGTTGCTCATTAACAGTGTTTAGATAAAGTGTTGATAGACTTTTTTTGAATTAGAATTCAGCATCCCACAGTGGATTTGACTCAGCAAACCTTATGTTATTGCTATAGAAAAGCACGACACAGGCAGCGGCCCAAGTGCTATCAGCAACTCATAAAAACCAGATGCATATTTCTGTAGTAATGTTACCTCACTCTTTGTTGTTTTGTGTTTTCAGTTGATAAAGGAACGCTGGTGCTGAGGAAGTCAGTTGATCTTAGTGTTAACTTTAAAACAGTCGCCGAGAGAATCTACTCCTTTGGGATTGGTGGACGCTTCCTGTTTGCTTCAGTTATGGCTGGATCAGGAAACATTATGCCGTCAGCATCAGAGGTGTGTGTGACTGTGCACCCGAGTGTGAGTGTGTTTATGCGTAAATGTGATGTTTTAACTATGTGCATGTTCTTTAGGACATTTTACGTGCAATACATGTGTCGGTAGACCAAGGTGAGACATGGAACATGGCGCAACTTCCTCCTGTCAGTCATGAGCAGTTTTACTCAATACTTGCAGCCAATGATGAAATGGTCTTCATGCATGTGGATGAACCAGGAGGTCAGTGTTTACTTTTGTTTTATTTACCGCAACCATAATATATAGGCTTACAACTAACATTTCCTGTTGTAGAAACCATCATGTCACACTGCTGTATCGATATATTATTTATTGTATGAACATTTTTTATTGGTTAACCACTGACATTTATTAAGATCAACAAAGAGTGGAACATTGATCAGTTGCAAAAACAAACAGCATTTAAAAAAAAAACTAAAAAAACATTTTGATCTGTGCTACTTTATAGAGCTCAGTGTTTCTATATTTTAACTGTATTGTGTTTTTTTTTTTCTCAGACGAGGGGATTGGCACCATCTATGTGTCAGATGACAGAGGCACTGTGTATTCCAAGTCTCTAGAACGCCATCTGTATACGACTCCAGGGGGTGAGACAGACTTCACGAATGTCACTTCCCTAAGAGGAGTCTTCACTACCAGCGTGCTGAATGAGGGTATGACTACATCTTACTTAAGAGGAATATACACTTATAGTCTGTGTGTATTTATCCTCAGGTTACTCTAGGAGGCCTGTATCACTTGGAATACTTAAAATCGATATGAAAAGCAGTTTTTAAAAAACAGCTTGCAGTTTACTTTCTAAATATACATTTGAAAATGAACATGATATTTAACATGCCATACACTACTGTTTAAAAGTTTGGGGTCGGTAAGATTTTCTAAATATTTTTGACCAAGGCTCACCATTTATTTGATAAAAATATATTAAAACAGTAAATATGTTAAATATTATTAGAATTTAAAATAACTGTTTTCTATTTTGATATATTTTAAAATATAATTTATTCCTGTAATGAAAAAGCTGTTTTTTTAGTAATTCTGTCATTATTTACTCACCCTCATGTCGTTCCAAACCCATAAGACTTTTGTTCATCTTCGGGACACAAATGAAGATATTTTTGATGAAATCCGAGAGCTTTCAGTCCCTCAGTCCCTTTCAGGAAGCAGTGCTTTGCCACTTTATTTACAAAAAAATATTTACCTGCAATTCAGTAGGAGGAACACCATGACCCATCCGTGTTTTCTGTGTTTTGTTTAGACTCAAGACCGAAAGTTGTTCTGTGAACTCGCTTTGGATAATATTTGTAAGATAAATTATTATTTTTTGCACAAACAAAGCACTTGTGTTACTTCATAAGATTGAGGTTAAACCACTGTAGTCACATGGATTAATAATTGAATGTGTAAATTGCGTTGCTCCCAATGGAGGTACTGAAAGATGACCGAAGATGAACGAAGGTCTTACGGCTGTGGAACGACATGTGAACTAACCATTTAAGGCTTTAGTATTCTTTATGATTCTCTCTATTTGCCTTTTTCTGCTGAAGACAACTCGGTACAGACAGTAATATCATTTGATCAGGGAGGTGAATGGGTTCCTTTGAAGAAACCTGAGAACAGCAAGTGTGATTCTACGGCCAAAGATAAAGAAATGGTAAGAATCACTGAATGGAAGCTGTTATAATTGGACAGATGTGACCAAACAGTTCAAATCCTTGAGAAGTCTAACAGTGTGTTTATTTACTTACCTTGTGTTGTCTTTCTCCTGTGCAGTGTAGTCTGCATATTCATGCCTCATATAGCACCTCCATGAAGCTGAATGTTCCCATGCTGCCTCTGAGTGAACCCAATGCTGTCGGACTCATCTTGGCTCATGGTAATCCATGTACACTTTTAAGTAAAGTCCAAAGTGCAATTCAATTCTGTGGCATGTATTGTAATGTCTCTATTTTAATTTAAATTTTTTTTTTTTTTATAAATTATAACACATACAAGTCATTATTATTAAATGGATAAAATAGATACAAGAAAATTAAAGGTGCAGTAAACAATTTCTGAGAAACACTGTTGATATTTGAAATCATTCCAAACAAACACACCCTCCCTTCATTGCTCTCCCAAAATTCCTGATCACTCAGTGCAATAGTAGATGGCCTTCCTGCTTAGGTCTCTCTAGTGCTAGAAAGTTTCTAATCTCCAATATTATCGTGCTGTTGGCTGATCATAACTTTTCTTTTTCCAATCATATTCTTCTGACCTTTTCTCTTTTGTAATGTCTCTCAGCCATCTCTCTTTCTACAGTCTTTCTTCAAATCTCCCTCTTGCTTCCTTTTGACTGTATACTCCTCCCACTGCTGATTGGCTACAAGTGTGTTGAGGTGCTTGGTCCAATCCACTTTCAAAAGTTTTTTTCAGAAATCGTTTACTGCACCTTTAAAGATAAAGTGTAATTTCTGTCACCAAACAGAATTGCATAAAATAATGACTTTCATATAAATAACATTTCTGCCATCCCACTTACTCTTTTTTAGGCAGCGTGGGTGACTCAATCTCAATGTTGACACCTGATGTGTATGTGTCTGATGATGGAGGCTACACCTGGCAGCAGGCTCTGAAGGGGCCGCATTACTATGCTATCCTGGATTCAGGAGGCCTGCTGGTGGCCGTGGAGCACAACGAGCAAAACCCATCCAAACTCATCTCTGAGATTAAGTGAGCTTCCTGTAGTTCTTGAGATGAAACCTATACAATTGGCTTTTATATGGACGGTTTTCCATGCCAAGCTGAAGAATATGCTAATATTTCCACATGCAGAGTGCCGGTACATGCTGTAAAACTCATGGTTTGTGTGTCTCTTAGGTTCTCCACCGATGAGGGGCAATGCTGGCATGTTTATAAGTTCACCCAGACGCCGATGTACTTCACAGGGCTGGCCTCAGAGCCTGGTGCCCGCTCAGTGAATGTCAGTCTCTGGGGTTATGAAGATGCTTTGATCAGCCACTGGGTAACTTACACCATTGACTTTAGAGACCTGCTGACACGTGACTGTGAGTGACCAGTTCTGTTTGAACCACACAAAATCAAAGACATTTATATAATTATATATTTGGGTTTAGCACAAACTAATCTGTCGCTGTCTATTTCCCAGGCACAGAAAGTGATTATGTCCAGTGGCTGGCTCACTCTGATGACATCAGCGACCCGGAAGATGGTTGCATGCTGGGTTATAAGGAAAAATTCCTGCGTGTGAGAAAGGACTCTGTGTGTTGGATTGGCAGGGATTACATAGTCACCAAACAGCCCACACCATGCAGCTGCACACTGGATGACTTCCTGTGGTGAGTGGAAACCAAAGTTATTGTAGCTTTGCTTTTTCTAATTCTACTTTGAAAAACTTTAGTTAATTTGAGGAATGGATTGTTTAGTTTCAGTTTAGTTATTTCATGCATATTTCTATTTCATTTCAATATATTTTATTTCCGTTATGGTAATTCAGGTTTAGTTTAACATTTTGGACAGCATTTTTGGATGCATTTTCAGTGCAATGGTCAAATTAATTTTTGTCATATGTTGTATTGTCATTTGCTGCTAGAATGTCAGATGACTTTGTCCACACAGATTAGAGATGCACGGATTAGCTCAAAATCATTCACCCACCACCCACCCAAACCTATGATTTTCTCTGATTTAGATATCTGCACCCGATAGTCACATTACAATTATTCAAATTTTCAGTGTTAAGCATGATGATATGTTACATATTACACTGAAGTAGGCTGCTTTTAAATGAAATTTTTTATTTAAAGTAAAAGTTCTTCTTTGGCAAAATTGCATTTCCTTAATAGCCTAAACAAAGGCTTTACTCCCTTAAATTCTTAAATTGGAATGTCACTGTTTTCGTCATTGCGACTTCCCAAGCACACACACACGAAATTAAATACGTTCAGCTCAAGCAAAGGCTAGACATAGGCTAATTTATTAAATGTATGTCATATACATACAGTGCTTCACAGCCGTAACATAGGCTATCATCACATACCCATCAAATAATTTGTCCTGGTTAACTACTACACTAAAAGAATCACAATGTTTTGGTTTCAAACAGAGATCACGATTTTCCCACGATTCTGAACAGACAACTAAACAAAATAACATGTAATTTACTACAGGTTCTGACAAATGTTAATTGCCGCAGTCTATTTCAAATGTTTAATGACTCAATGATTCAATGACTCACTCATACATACTTTGTCTTTATGTAAAGTTTGTAACATACTTTGGTTAAAATTCCTCAATGCTTGTGTAAAACAACACCCTTTTTACCTCCTCAAAAACAGCTCTGTTCACAGCGACCCGTTTCGGTGCATGTCTCTTTGTTTAAATGATAATGAGCAACTGCTCACCCCACCCCTCTCTTCCATGGGGGGAGTCGACACAAGACACATAAAGTGCTGCCTTGGCAACCTGCCTTGGTGGACAGTATACAAATGGCTGAGGGCCGAAATATGCTAATACGGGACAGTCCGTCAGAGGTCGTGGGGGGACCATGAGCAATATGACATAATTTTGCTCAGAAAATCCAAATGGCTTGATTATTGAGAGTGTTTAGACTTTTTAAAGAAAATGAATGGATTTTTTTCATTGTATGGTGGTTGTGTCCACACAATGCAAAGACACATTTATATGCAAACACCATATAAAAGTGAATTTTGCATCCGATGACCCCTTTAAACAAATCTCTTGCTCGATTCAATGACAAATACATTTTTTTAAGTCACTTGTCACCACCTGTTGGCATAACAAAGCGCAATTTGAAGCGCCATGCTACTTTTTAAAAGGTGATTTACTTTATTTTGATTGCTTCCATTTAAACTTTATTTTTTCCAGTTCTTCTGTGATAATATGGATATTTGTAATATAGAAATAATGATACTGTGTGGTTGAAAAAAACAGTTTGTGAAGATGTTACATACTTCTCTATGACAACTGTTCTGGCAGATTTGAATGTTAGGAATTAGATTGCGTGTTTGAATCAAGATCGCTGTAAGTCTGACTAATTCGATCCAAGGGCGGCATTCAAATTAGCGGTGAAGGTCTCAACGCGCGTTCCGTCTCTTCCAATGGCAAAGGGATTTTTGATTAAATGTAATATATTTTGTCTTATGTATTAACTCATTTCATCTGACTCCATAAATGAAAGTGTTTTTCAATGATATTTGTGCATCATTAAATATACGTTAATGTTTGACTATTCCTTTTAACTCCAATGAAAATAAAGTCAAAGTCTGTTAGAATAATCAAATATAACAATTTATTATGTCAGGTAAATGCATTTTAACAATTCCATAATCAATTGAAAGATAATCAATGCAAATCATCAAATGTTTTAGGATTAGAGAAATAGATGCAAACCCAACATGAACTACATGAGCTAAACCTCACGGGCTATCTGAAATACAGAAAAAGCCACGATCCCTTGCTGCCTTCCATTAAATAGCCAGACCTCATTTCATATGTAAACCTGTATTCACAGTGGAAATGTACTGTGTTCATCCCCCCAGACTTACTGGGGGCAGAAGTAAATTTACATGGTACCATTTGCTAACAGTGGAAATTAGCATTGAGTTCACACCTTGGGAGTAGGAGACCACATTCATTTGTGTGCCAGATATCCCTAAACTCTTAAAAAACCTTATTACCTTTTGTTTTATACTTTGGGAATGAGACATTTGTACCACTCATTCCTGAGACATCAATGATAATCATTCACATCAAACCATAGATATTCTTATGTGAGTTTTTATGTGTCACTGCGAGAGTGGGGGATGCGGGGAAGAAGTGTGTGTGTGTGTGTGAGTTCAAATGTTAATTTGCCAAGGTCCTTTGTCTCATAGACCAGTGGTCTATCTCTTCACCCAGTTTCCAGTTTTCCAGTCTTACATCGCTATCTTTTAACAATTACTCGTGCAGCTATATTTCAAAGTTTTCAAATCTTCTCTTCCCTCCTGCTTAGTGACTTTGGATACTACCGTAAAGAGAACAGCTCAGAATGTGTTGAGCAGGCTGAGCTCAAAGGCCACGATCTTGAGATCTGCATCCACGGGAGAGAGGAACAGCTACAGACCAGTGGGTAATGCCCTCTGGATTATTCTCCATTGCTTGAAGACTAAATCTTTGTCTTAAAAGTAGACAGTTGAGAGTCAAGGTTTTTCACTTGCTTTAATACCTTACATCTGGTTAGCACCTGCTAGCTTCTCTTTGACTTATTAAGAGAGCTTTAAAAAAAACATGCGTATTATAATTTATTTACCAGGTACAGAAAGATTCCAGGTGATAAATGTGAGGGAGGAAAACAACCAGGAAGAAAAGTGATTGACATGAGCAAGAGATGTGTCAGCAACCTGCTGGCGGACCCTCAGCTGCTGGTGAGACTGCATTTACCTTGCTACATATAGAGTGGTGCAGGTATGCCATCATTTTGTTGGCCAAAACGTGGAAACGAGTTAGCATTTTAGCACTTCCGGTTCCATCATCCTGAAGTCCGTGGGTTTTTTGAATGGGTTTTTTTCTGAAATAAGATCTGTGGTGAACACAACCTCAAAACTCTTTCACGTTTTATTCTATGACATAAAATACATTAGTATTACCCCACTCATGATTTTTTAAGCTGTTATGTGTCTTGTAAAAAGCAGTTGTTATCAAGTGGCTAAATGGGACTACAAAGGCTGTCGGGGACATTAAACGTCAAACAGGTAAACTCAGTCCGCGTTTACAGCTTCGTTATTCTTATAATTGTGCTCTTATAAACTATTCTAACAAAAAAAAGAAATGTTTTTGGAAGCTTAGTGATGATGACGTTGATGTCGCTATAAACGAACTACACCACTGTCGTAGAGTGGTGTAGTTCGTTTATAGCCTACCTTTAGCTTTTTCTAAGTTCTGGCGACTGCATTTAGGCTTCAAAATTCAGAAAGTTGTGTTCATCTGTGAAAAGGATCTTGATGGACAAAACGTGCGAGTATCATAAACTTTTGTTGATCACAGAGCTTTTTTTTGCGATAATCCAAAAGCCTCTGGAAAATCCTATTGGGGTTTTTTTTGTCAAGGGAACCAGTGTGATGCTAACTGCCAATTGGCCTATAAAGTGACGTCATACTTGCACCACTCTATTACTAGTTCAATAGTTCAGACAGGGGTTCAAACATGTATATATACAGCATATACAGTATATTATATATGTTCATCCAAGGATATGGAAGAATATCTGGGCCACTCTTTGGAATATAATACATTTGATAATAATACAATTTATAATACTTTTATGGTGCTTTTTTCATTTTGGAGTTTACCAACCCCAGTCCCCAGTTTCAGGGATGAAAGAGACAGGCATTGAACAACAGAAGGGTTAGAAAATAATGAAAAGAAATTATCTTTCAGTGAACTATCCCTTGGTAGTAGTGACAGATCTAAAAAAATAACTATGTAAAAATATTTAAAGTGCCCCTATTATGCTATTTTAAAGGTTCCAAATGTTGTAGTTAGAGGGCCCCTACAATAGGTTTACATGCATCTAAGGTCAAAAAACACTTTTATTTTCTCATAATATACATTGCACATTTCCTCAAAGAGAATGAAAATGGTTTGTTCTAAGATTCAGTCTCTCTAATCGCCTCCTTTCTAAAAGAGCCTACTCTGCTCTAATTGGTCAGATGGCCATTACCCTATTACAACGCCTATTACCATATCTGATGGTGTATTCACACCTGCCTTGTTTGGTTCGATTGAATCGAACTCTAGTTCGTTTCCCCCCTTGGTGCGGACCTTTTGGGCAGGTGTGAATACAGCAATCGAACTCGGGTGCGGACCAAACAACCGAACCGAGACCCAGCTGAAGAGGTGGTCTCGGTACGGTTCCAAACGAACTCTGGTACGGTTCGTTTACGGTGTGAACATGAACCGACCCAATTGCAAGAAAGCACTGCGCCTTTGAGTTACCGGGCTTCCGTAGTCGGAGATTTTGGCATAATGGTTTGTGTTATTGTTGTTCAAGTGCGAAAGAGAATTCCATTCCGGCGCGCTGTCTGGCCACACGATACTGTTGCGCGTCTTTCTGCACGTCGTGTGTGCATCATTGGAATGGAATGAATGAATGAGTGTGTGTGTGCATCAGGACATTCACATACAGCGCGTTCTCTTTAGTCTAATCGCGCATAGATGCAAAAAAAGCTTTTGCAGTTCATATAATGTAACGATAGTTACAATACAAGGATGATGCTGTGTTAAACTGGACAAACTTAATCGCAAGCGTTAACATTGACAGCACTTGTTAGCAGTATATACAATAAGAATCTCATTATTTGAATGTGTGAACATAGCCCCTCTCTATGAATGAAAACTTTATGCCTTATCCGTCTTCTGCGCAGTTTCTTCATATTGCGTTTGTACAGAATAACACAAAATTAGGAAAATAACAAATATTGCAGTACGAAATATCTCCATGCTGAGCCTTTTTTGCACTTCCTGATTTCCCTACTTGAGAATCCTTGTCCAATGAATGGACGACCTTAGCACACGTGTGGTTTTGTTTACAAATTTTGGTTCACTTGCAAAAAGAGCAGTGTGAAAGCGAACCGTACCAAAAAAAAAAAAAAAAAAAATTATTTGGTCCGGACCAAAGCAAGTGACCTATCGGACTTTCCTGGTGTGAATACACAGCTCGGGAGGCATCCTCAGTGCTTGATACACATACACTCACCGGCCACTTTATTAGGTACACCTGTCCAACTGCTCGTTAACACTTAATTTCTAAGCAGCCAATCACATGGCGGCAACTCAGTGCATTTAGGCATGTAGACATGGTCAAGACAATCTCCTGCAGTTCAAACCGAGCATCAGTATGGGGAAGAAAGTTGATTTGAGTGACTTTGAACGTGGCATGATTGTTGGTGCCAGAAGGGCTGGTCTGAGTATTTCAGAAACTGCTAATCTACTGGGATTTTCACGCACAACCATCTCTAGGGTTTACAGAGAATGGTCCGAAAAAGAAAGAACATCCAGTGAGCGGCAGTTCTGTGGGCGGAAATGCCTTGTTGATGCCAGAGGTCAGAGGAGAATGGCCAGACTGGTTCGAGCTGATAGAAGGGCAACAGTGACTGAAATAACCACTCGTTACAACCGAGGTATGCAGCAAAGCATTTGTGAAGCCACAACACGCACAACCTTGAGGCGGATGGGCTACAACAGCAGAAGACTCCACTGGGTACCACTCATCTCCACTACAAATAGGAAAAAGAGGCTACAATTTGCAAGAGCTCACCAAAATTGAACAGTTGAAGACTGGAAAAATGTTGCCTGGTCTGATGAGTCTCGATTTCTGTTGAGACATTCAGATGTTAGAGTCAGAATTTGGCGTAAACAGAATGAGAACATGGAACCATCATGCCTTGTTACCACTGTGCAGGCTGGTGGTGGTGGTGTAATGGTGTGGGGGATGTTTTCCTGGCACACTTTAGGCCCCTTAGTGCCAATTGGGCATCGTTTAAATGCCACGGCCTACCTGAGCATTGTTTCTGACCATGTCCATCCCTTTATGGCCACCATGTACCCATCCTCTGATGGCTACTTCCACCATGTCACAAAGCTCTAATCATTTCAAATTGGTTTCTTGAACATGACAATGAGTTCACTGTACTAAAATGGCCTCCACAGTCACCAGATCTCAACCCAATAGAGCATCTTTGGGATGTGGTGGAACGGGAGATTCGCATCATGGATGTGCAGCCGACAAATCTGCGGCAACTGTGTGATGCCATCATGTCAATATGGACCAAACTCCCTGAGGAATGCTTCCAGCACCTTGTTGAATCTATGCCACGAAGAATTGAGGCAGTTCTGAAGGCAAAAGGGGGTCCAACCCGTTACTAGCATGGGGTACCTAATAAAGTGGCCGGTGAGTGTAGATACGGACAGTAACAATGGCATCCATTTTACATATCATCCTTTTGAAATAGCATCTTCTCAACATGTCGACAACACGAACCAAACTCTTCCAGGCCTCAGCTACAACTTCATCGTTTGAGAAAATAGAACGTTTTCATTTCATGCTGACTTTAAACCTCAAATACTTGTTCACCGCTGTTTACCCTGTATCTCTGTAATCCACAGACAGAAAAATCTACCTCACATACCGCCCCCATCATTGCGATCGTCATAGCCATCCTGCTGACCGGTGCAGTGTTTGGGGTTCTGTTTGTAAAGAAGTATGTCTGTGGCGGAAGGTCAGTCTGTTCTCTAGACTTTTTATGGGTTACATGTAGAATATGTTTAATCATATAAAATAAAATAAACATCTTTCGTCTTGGCCTAAATATTTTGCAGGTTCCTGGTACATAGATACTCAGTCTTACAACATAATGCGGAAGCCAACGCCGTAGATGAACCACTGGACACAGATGTGGCTGGAGCACCTAAGATTGATTTCCATGATGACTCAGATGAGGTACATGTTTGGACCATCTCACACTAATACATACACCTAAATGGAATCTTCTTTGGTATTTGTTTAGGAAAAAAAAAAGAAGCAAAATAGCAGTACTGATCTTGCTAAATGAATGTGTGTTTTTGGCAGGACCTACTGGAGTAAAGCTGTGCATTAGGTGAGCACAAGGAGCTACATATCCTGTCATTCAGGCATTACTGCTGCTGTCTCTCCTCTCTCTAAAGCACAAACCAGCTGTCAGCTTTCTCAAACTTAATCTACCAGCTAATGTCACGTGCTTCCTTCTTCTTGACCAATGGGAGGGAACCTGGTTGCTTCTCCACCAATAGGAGGGTATTCTGATGATGCTGTTCTCATGATAGAATAGTCTTGTGAATGTAACTGCTGAAATTCTCTAAAGCAGAGAAAAAGTGTTTATAAGCTGTTTGTGGAAGTTTCAGTTCTTTCTTTTGAAATTGGGGTCTTCTGGGCAGGATTTTAAGGATGAGACTGTCACGGGAGTACTTGTAAAATACTTGCTTTTCTTTTGATGTCCAGATGCTCTTACGTCAGAACTAGAGGTATATTAGTATTTCAGCAGGAATTTCATTTAGCAAAAAGAGACAAATGAATCATATCATATGCGATGTTTAAAATACTGTGCTACTGAACCCTGACTGTGTTAATTACTAAAATGTGATCATACCTGCTGTCAAAGCTTTAGTATAATGTCCACTTTACTGTAAATAAGCAGGTGCATTAATGAATATAGCAATAAAATGCTGAGAAACAGGCAATAGATTTGACTTTACAAAAAGGGAGAATATATTTATAATTTAAGATTTATGAACATTATTAATTACCTGAAACTGTGTAGCTAGGCTGCGAGTTTGATAAAGTGAGATTGTTATTTGGACAAATAACTGTAGAACATGGAGATAATCTTCACATTACACATTTGTAAATAAGCAACTGTCACACTTGACGGTTAGGTACAATTTTGTAATAAATATTTTTATGAACTAAATGATGCAGATGCATGTAAAATAGAACACAACTGTAGTTTGTGTACAACCTTGAACATTTTGCCCAAATCAAATTTTGTAGTGAAATAGTTTTCTTAGATTTCGACATTTTGTGCTGTTTCTTGGTTCTCGTCTTGACAGCAGGAAAGTACCATGTGATCAAGAGAAAAAGTGTGACCGTTTAAACATTTTTTTTTTTTTACCATTTCGCATAAAGACGCCTAAAACCTGACTAAGTGTTTGTGTGACAAACCATTAGTCGCAATAATTTTGCGTGTGATAATTATTTTCATGTTTGTGCAGCAACTTCAGCGAGGTGAGAACAGACCCAGTGGTCTGAAGTCTTTGACCATGTGATTTGATTTTGGATATTCAAATGCACTTGAGCAATTTAGCACCTTTCCATTGGTACTTCCTGTTTGCATAGATGCTTGATGTCTGTGATGCATTGTTTTTTATTAAGTGTGTATTTAAATATCATTTCTACAGTTAATTTGGAGCCATGTTTCAACATCTCTAGCAGTTGTTTGCTTATATTCACATACCTAATAAAAAGTCTCATATTTTCTTAAAGACAATCTCCTTTGCAAAAACTATGAGTTATATATGGTGTTAATAGGTATAAAAACCCTAGTGTATGTTTTGATTCAAGTGCCTAGCATGGAGGCAGAGCTTGTGCCTTCCAGTGAAATATAGATGAATTCAAAACCGAGAACAATCTCATCTATGAAGAATTACCACAGTTCATTATAACATGGGCTTTGACAAACTATGACAAAATATTTCAGTTGATGAAAAGATCTGTATAAATTTTATACAATAAAATAAAAACAAACATGCCCCTAAATTATTTAATACGTATTGTCTTACTAAATTGGGTTGCTCTCCATGCTTGGGAATAATAATAATAATAGATGCAATGTAAATGAAATCTAAAGCTAAATGATTTCCATTGTGGCTGATTTTATTTACATGAGGTGTAATGTCTTTCTTGCAGTGCAAAATCAATGTACATATTAGTTGTGAAGCTCTGTATATACAGCAATTCCGACTTTGTATCTGTTATTTTTTGCTCTGTATATTTGGAACTGTTTGATTGATAAATAAATTGATTTGCCCCACAGATTTTGTATATATATATATATATTTTGCTCATAAGAGTAAAAAAGCAAATGTGTCGTGATACAATATGCAATACGCAAAAGTGTACAATAAGCCATTAAGTTTTGTTACAAATTGTAACAATAAAGTTCCTTCCAATTAAATAAGTTTTTCAATCATAAAAGAACAGGCCTAGACTTTAGCAACAAGTGTCTTGATAAACATGGAGGACTTGGCAGCCACTCAAATTCTGTACAGGAAGTTGCCTTCTTTGTCAAAAAAATCGCTTCCCTTCTGTTTCACTGAACTGGGGGTTTTCTGCAGCGTCTGTGCGATGTGCTCTAGCTCTTCCTCTGTCAGAATCACCCCATCCCACTCTTCCTCCTCCTCCTCTAACTCGATATCATCTCTCATGTCCATTTTCGCTGTAGAGTCAGGCTGCTCCTGCAAAGCAGGTGTCAGTTTGTGTACAGCTGATAGTACTTGAGATGGTACTACATTTCCACCAGAGGGCGTCAGTCCAGTCTCACCCTCCCTCACTGCAAGGGCTGTTTTACTCAGTGTTGTCAGGGCACCTGTTTTTCCAGAGGAGAGTATGGCTGGTGTTGCACTCTTTGGCAGTCTGGACTGTTCAGTTTTGCCATCTCTGAGAGACTGCTGCCCAGTACTGACTAACACTTTAGAGTCCTGCTTTAGCTTTCGGACAACTGTTGGGGTGAATTTGCTGCGGAGGACTTTGGAGATGACATCAGGGCTTACAGAGAAACCCTCTGCTAATCTCTGTAGTGTCCATTCCTCTGGGGACTCCTGCTTTAAGTACCTGTGAAAAGAGACATATGACTGCTCAGTGTTTGAGGGGCGGCAGATAACTACAATATTTTGGGTCAGACATAATATATATATATATATACATATATTATGTTATTACATACAGAAATGTGTTTGATTTGAAATGATCATATGACCTAAAGTTTCATTTAAAGCATCTGCTAAGAAATATTATATTAAAATTACACTTTAAAAGTATAAACACTTTTTTATATATATATAAATACACTACATTTTTTTAAACTGTAGTGTACATTTAAAAAGAAATATTAAAATACTGGGCATAGCAAAAAGATGAACAATTTATATATTATTAATTTGCAACCACAGTTACTTTTTTCAATTAATTAATTATCTGACACATTCAAACACCAAGATTTCGTGCTTAACAAATATTAAAATGAATACTAAAGTCCTTCAAGGAAATTTTCAATATAGTCACATGCAAGTAAATGCTGAAAATAAACATACAGTTATACAAAAATGTCTGACAGCTGAGCTCAATGCTGTGACTGACCGATCAGAATCAAGAGCTGTGTAATAAACAGACATATTCACACTGATACCTTATCTGTTCAATGGCATCCCAGGTGAGTTTTCTCTCCGGGTCTCCAGGATTGTTCATTTGCCTCTTGATTATGTGAAACTTTGCTGCTTTATGCTTTCTCTTCTCTTCACTGCAAAGGAAATCATTTTAATACATGAAGACTGAGGTATTTGCTTTTGTGCTCCTGAGGACTCACCTAATAATAGAGTTCAGTTTGGCTTCCACTGCATCCATATCATGGTCATCTTCAAACATGTCTTCCTGTTGTTTCTGTTTTGAATGTGAATCAGAATACCTCGGCGACATCCCTCTGTATGCGCCTCGACTGGCATGGCGACAAACAGGTCCTGGGAAAGGGGCCAGTTTGGTGGCCAACATGTAGGCCATTCTCCATGGTGTGACCATTCTGCAACAGTCACAAACATAAAGATAGTGACATCTGAATTTGCTACTTAATCCAATATAAAAAAGGACTATTTATCAAATAACTATTTATAATAGGAGTCTGAAGAATAATCTGAGAACAAACTGAAAGTCAAATTGTTGTTTTTATCATTTAAGGCTAGACACTGGTCAATTTTGAGATTTTGGACTATTTTGCTTCCATACTTTGTCTTCTTTCAGACTAGCGAAAAGGAAACATTCAAAGTACATTTTAATTTTATTACAGTTTATATATTAGCGTCTGTAGATTTCAATTACAATTTATATCTTTAAAGACTGTTTTCTCAGAAATAGGTTTTTTTTTTCTCTCTGCAGCGCAAGAACCCCCACTAAAATAATAGCAATTGCCAAACTTTCAAGTTTTATTCCTATCTATATTCTGAAGGTTTTTACAGTTTTTTCCCCACATATCATTCGCCTGATTTATGTAACATTTTATTCCTAAAAACTGAAAAGCACTATGTCTACGTCACTTCTTAAACGTAGCCTAAGCTAATTTGTAAACCATCGTACAAAAGGTCAAATTTACCTTGCTCTTTTCCGTAGCTCAAACTTTACATTTATACAACCATATAATGTCAAATTGCTATGCGTATACATTTTGTAAACAGTGCCTGTAAAACTCACATGTTCCTCTTGCTTTTCTCTCCTTCCACGGTGACATTATTACACCGGAAGCATGGTTTATTCACGCATGCGCGGCAGTCATTCGATTCTTTCCGAGTCGGAGCGTTTTGTTTTTTACTCGGCAACACTCGGCTCCGTTCGCCGATCACATGCCACCGGAAGCATGGTTTATTCACGCATGCGCGGCAGTCATTCGATTATTTCCGACTCAGATCGTTTTTACTCGGCAACACTCGGCTCCGTTCGCCGATCACATGCGTCAAGCCTGCCCCTTTCTTCTCTGTGTGGCTCATTTTGCGCCATTTTGTCCGCACCACTGTGTTGATTGGGTTTTTGAGATCTGTTGTGGAGCCAATCAGAAGGGTACCGGACAACCGGAGAAACGGTAAAGGGTTGCGCTTGCTCTAAGGGAAATGGTAGCTGACAACACGGATTGGTTTGTCAGTGACCAACCAAATGACTAATTCCGAATACAGAAATCAAATCGGTTAATTATGCGAGAGGTAGAGAGCGCGAGCCATAAGCTATACGCGCGCGAGAACGGACACTGGACATGAATGATACTGTTAGTGAAGCTGTCGAAAACAAAGACAGACCTGCAAATGATTGTGAAATAGGGTCTGTTTTGAACTAATTTAAAAGCATCTCGCTTACCTTGGTTTGCCCATAACAAGGAGCAAATGTTTGTGAAATGCTGCAAATTTGTGAATTATTCAGACCTTCATGTCAACTTTTCAGCCACTTTGTGTGTGTGTAGCTAAAAACATCAGAAAAACAGTCAGAATGTAATATAAGATGATGCTCATAATGTTAAACACCTTCAATAAGGAAACATTCAGTCTCAAAATACACCTGGCTTCTGGCCAAAACCTGCAGCCATCACGACACCAGACAGAAGTCATGATTTCATAGAAGACTGCTAGTTGTGCTTGTTCTGAATAATAAGTTGGAAACGCCTTGCATCTCATTTATTTATTTATTTTATGTTGTTATGACAAATTAGGTGAGGAAGGAGAGATGGAGCAATATACAACTACAACCGGGGATCAGATAGTGGTGCAAGCTGCCAATGGACAAATCCAGCAGCAGGTAAGAGCCAATGTAAACACTCTTACTGTTTAATCAGTGCTTTTTACTGTGGGAAAAAGGACCATGACTGTTTGATTTTGTTTGTTTTTTCAGGCATTTAAAAAAAACGTGTCTAAGTTGTACATTTTACTGTATGTACTGGAGATGTGTATAAGGTGCAGTAGTATTTTTAAAATAGGAGAGTAATCTACTTCAGGAAGTGGTTACCAATTCAAGGAAAGGACTGAGTAAATAGTATTGAACTAGCCTGCAGTCTCTCTCCTTTGAAATGAAATACCTCAGTCCTGATAAAAACAAGGTTTATGTGACACAAACACACCCAGTTGCCAATCACTATATTAATCACAGCTTCTCTCTCTCTTGCTCTAAAAAGCAACTTTTTAAAGGGAGGATATTTATATATATGTGTCAGTGTGTATCATTTTGTATTATTTTTGACAAAAGAGCTGCTGATTTATCACTGTAGAACTGGTTGTTAAATTGTTTTGCTTTAGAAGTCAGATTTTAAATTGGAATGCAGGTTCTTGGTGTTGTACTGATGAATTGTTAAAGGGGCTATGTGTAGGTTTTTACTTTAAAAAATCTTTAAGATAAGCCCCTTTCACACAGAGATTCCGGAAAATACACAGATAAAGCGACCCGGGATTTGACCCGGGTTCGTTTGATTTTGCTTCGTTCACACTGCCAGTGATTTGCCGGAATCAGAGAGCGCGTTCACACACAACCCGTGTATGTTCCGGAAAGACACGTGACATCGATGTGACATGTAATGTCTCAGCAACGTGTATAGTTTGCTTATGAGCTGCGATTTCTCTCTGGAGAAACCACGCTTGTGCATTTTTTTCTCTGATTCGATCATAAACTAGCGCATTTCACTAGCCTGCTTTCACTTCACTTCAGCGTCATCATTACGACACGGCATTGGTTACGGCTTTTGTTCACACAGCGCGCGTTCCGGGTCTGAACACGGCAATGTTACTAGGTCCCCAACCCGGCATCGATCCCGGCATCAGTCCCGGGTCGTGTTTGCGTTCACACAGAAGGCACTCTGGCAATTTGCCGGCAATTTGCCGGGTTCAAAGCGCTGTGTGAAAGGGGCTATAGAGTCTTCATTTGTACATTTATGAACCAACCATAATGTAATAGAAAGAATGACACCTTGACTGTCCACCACGGTTGCCTCTATCAGCCTGTAGGCTCAATTGTGTGAGGAGTCGGGTCCGAATTGGCGTGAAAATTCACAAAATGTGACGTCATGCGCGTTCTCGTTTACTTGGGCTTACATCCGTACGGCAGCCATTAGTAAGCAGCGGCAATCGCTAGCAGTAGTGTTTCAAATGGACTCTGCAGACGGAAAGAAGCGACCAGCCTCCAGCACAATCCAGATACCCACGGAAACTCCTCGTAAGTTTAAAAAAGAAAAAGCCTTATCCAGTGCGGCCAGAGAACAAGCATGAGACTGGCTGCAGTTTCTCTAACGGCCACTGGTGTCAGTAATGGTAAGAAATTTCAGAACTTCCGCAATGCTCCTTTAACAATGTTTTTTAATCAACTTCCTCTGTAGTAACGGTTCTTTACCACTGAAAAGTACACCAATAGGCTTTATGCACAGCTTCACTACTTCCTGAACTTAAGCCAGCTCCTTTGTTTCCTGTCTGCCATTATTAGACAAACTGATTAATCCAGGTGATTAATCAGTTTGTCCAATAATGGCAGACAGGAAACAAAGGAGCTGACTAAAGTTCAGGAAGTAGTGCAGCTGTGCATAAAGCCAATTGTGTCATGATTTTGTGCCAAAATTAGGTTTATTGGATAGATAATATATATCCTCCCTTTAAAAAGTTGCTAAACCATTTTTTGATTGTGAATCTGTTGAGAACCACTGGTCCAGAATATCAGAAAAGGACAGTGTGAATTACGGGATTGGATTAGGAAGTATAAAATAACAAAGTGGATTTCTGTAAGAGAGAATGCAGAGCAAAGTGTGTTGTGGGATTGTCCACAGGCTCAGGGCACCGTAACTGCAGTACAGCTGCAAACAGAAACACCTGTCGTTACGGCAACAGGCCAGCAAGTGCAGACGCTCCAGGTAGTTGTGTGAACTCCGACCTTCAGGCTTGTGATGTTGCATGCGTCATGTCACACTGTCTGCGAGGATGTGAGCTCGTCCAGCATGCCTCGCTTTTACTTACAGCAAATCGTGATCCGGTTCGTCTAATGTTCCATGTTGTCCGTGGCATCAAAGCATCTGCTTGGGACACATTTTCAAGAAGAATAATTTGTGTCTTTTAATGTGTCTGGAGCAGAATTTAAAAAGATTTTGTAGAGTAACTATGGAGTCATTATTACTATAAGATCACTTGCATGTTATCACCACGTTATACTGATCAGTTCACAGCACTGTATGGATTTTGGATGAACTGCATGATTGTCTGATGAACATGTTGAAACATGAAATTCTAGCTCCCTCATTCCAGCCATTACCACCAGTCTGGGTCATTTTCTGTAGAAATTATAAAACAGTAACATAACTGGAACACCATGGCCATTAAAATAGAAAATGTCCATCATAAACAGTGATGTATGTCCTGTGTAATGGCTAATATTGTGTTGAATATCTACATCTCACCATGCTAACTTTCAGTTTATGTGTGCGCTCAGGTCCAGGGTCAGCCATTGATGGTCCAGGTGAGTGGCGGGCAGCTGATTACATCCTCTGGTCAGCCCATCATGGTACAGGCCATGTCTGGAGCTCAGGGCCAGACCATCATGCAGTTGCCTGTGTCTGGAGCTCAAGGCCTTCAGCAGGTAAGTGCCATTCTGGTTGTCATCAACACTCCTCATTGTGGGAAAGTCTCCTTAAATAGATCTGTAGATTGTCCTATTATACTGAACAGCAAAATGATCTATGTTAATATTGCACATATTTTATGAAACAATGGATGAGGATAATGATTATCATTATTACACTCAACAGGAAAATTATCTTAATATCCCTTTGTTATTATTATTAATGCTCATATTATATGAAACAATGGCTTATTATATTTCAAGGTAAAATGATCTGAATTCGTCTCTGTTCTCCTTATTATTGTAATCAATGTTTTTTTTGTATGTGTAAATGTAGATCCAGTTGGTTCAGCCGGGTCAGATTCAGTTGCAGGGAGGTCAAACTCTGCAGCTGCAGGGTCAGCAGGGTCAGACTCAACAGTTCATCATACAGCAGCCCCAGACTGCCATTACCGCCGGCCAGAACCAGGTCTCAAACACACTTTATTCTTTTCTCTGGTCTGTTTAGTTGGAATGTAACTAACAATTACAAACCTAGCACACTTATGCAAATTAATAACATCGTGGTTAAAATGGTGTGGGAACGTTGTACTTTATTTTTTCACTGATACATTATGTTGTGCACGAATTAAGCGAATGCTGTCATAACAACTATAATGACTAGAGTTTGTGCAATTGGTATAAGGCAGATTTTTTTTTTAGATTACTTTACACTGGTTTTGTTGTATGAACTGTAAATGAATTTGTATTCTGTATTACAGGGGCAGCAGATAACATTACAAGGACAGCAGGTTGCCCAAACAGCTGAAGGACAGACCATTGTATACCAGCCTGTGAACGCTGATGGCACAGTTCTGCAGCAGGGTATTTAAATACAATACCTATACCTGGTTTATCTGTCTTCAGTGAACATGAAATCAGACATGAACATGATAAACTTACTAGATGATCAATCAGGGTTTTAACAAACATTAATATGCCATTATACTGAAGGTTATTCAGGTGAGGACTAATAGTTATGATCCTCCATAGGCATGATCACCATCCCAGCAGGCTCCCTGGCAGGCACTCAGATTGTCCAGGCAGCAGGGGCTAACACCTCCACAACCAACAGCGGGCAGGGCACAGTCACCGTTACCTTGCCAGTATCCGGAAACATGGTGAACACTGGGGGAATGGTCATGGTAAGACCTCCTGATGAGGTATCTAACAAACTTAAACCGTCCCCTTCATTAGTCATCACAGGTGTAGGAGGGTGCATGCTGTGTTAAAACTCAATCACCTTGCTTGTGGACTCGCCTTTTCACATGCTGATCCAAACTTCTGAAAAGTAAATATATTTGTACAAATGATTTGACCTTGAAGGGATAGTTCACCTAAGGGCTGGGCAATATGTCTAATCGAATATTAGAAAATCGTGACTCATCCCTACTAAAGTAAACAGCGCTGAAATTCAATGAAGAACACACATGTTGGTGATTTAAACTAGTTTAAAGCCAGACGAAACAGCGCTGACATTCTCAACAGCACTAACAAACACAAGAAGCATTGTGCAATGAATGATCCAGTTAGAATTTTTTAATCTACAAATCACCATCATTTATGATGGATTTACTGTAGTAACACTAACTGCACAATGTTATTGTGGCAGAAAGTATTTTTGTTATTAAGCTATAGCGCATTTGTATTTATAATAAATGTATTTAGGCTACTGTTTTTAATAACAAATACCATATAGTTATATATATATAGAACCCATATAGTTACATTTTGCGTGCTATGTTAATGGTTTTACTTTGGTGATTATTTGAGATTGTAAGATTGTGATAACCACGGTAGACTTCTAACTTAAACTGTCAGAATATAAAATTTTTACCCAAATAAAAATGAGGTTGTTACAATTTTTATAGATGTTACTGTTTTTGTTAACAAATTTAACTGCATCTGTCAAATGTGCATTTCTAAGGGACAAAACATGTAATATAATTCATATTGCAGCTTGCATGGCAAACTGTACTAAAGATGCGTGCCAATAAAAAGTTTCATGATTTGAAACAATATCACCTGTTAGAACATGCAGAAACTAAGCAAAAAAACTAAAAAATTTAAAAAAAATATATATATGTTTATTTTGTCAAGGAAAAAAGGAAAGAAAATTGTAGAGAATTAAAAAAGTGTACCTACCTCAGATTTGTGAAATGTTCACCTGTTTACCAAGTATTTGTCATGTTCTTACAATAGTTTAAAACCACTAACAGTCTGGTTTCACTCAGGAGCAAAAATCTGCCTTTAAACTTTAAAAAAAGAAAGATTTGACATTTTTTTTGATAATTATCAATATCGACGGATATGAAAACATTTATGATATCTTTTTTTTATATATTTTTTGGCCATATCTCCCAGCCCTACTTCACTGAAATGTTGTTTCAAACTCACATGACTTTCATTATTCTGTGGCAGTGTTCATTTATATACTATTATAGTTTTATTTTTTTAATATTTCTATTTTAATTTATTTTTGTTTAAGTTTTAATAGTTTTAGTACTTCAACTTAAACTTGTTAATATCAGTAATCATCTTGGTATTTTGTGGCTGAATGTCGATATACAATATATCTCTGTATTTTCTACTTGTTTTTTATTTGGATAAAAAAAAAAATCAATGTTGTCCTATAAACAATGCTTATATTGAAGGCTATGGAAACAAATATAGTGAATGTAACCATATAGGCTATGCTATTATATGCAAAAAATGCTAAAATCACATTACATTCTGACATTGTAACTACAATATTACAATCTAAAAACAAAATTAAAGCCTTTAAAGTAGAAGTTAAATTCACTAAACTAAAAATGAAAATAAATTAAAATAAAAGCACAGACTGAATGTTAATTATTACAAGCTTATACCAGATAAAGGGAAAATACAGTCATTCATTTATCTGAGCTTATAGTAATTATATAGTCCACATTTGATTACCCAATTGCAATAGTCACTTTACAGTTACTGCTGTCATAGGGATACACTTGTAGGTTTAAAATCTACATATATGGCACATTTAATGTACCTAATGTACATGTAAGGTACAACAAGAAATATTTGAGCAAAATGTATATCCGATGTGTATCTGTCAGAGCTTCTGATGGAGCAAGCCACTTATGTGAACAGTGCTTTTTCATTTGGAGCCTGACAGCCAGCAGATCCCCAGATTCAATTTCATTATTATATATAAAAAAAAAAAAAGATTGGCTAAGACACATTTTTCCTTTTTTGTTCCATGAGAGAAAGAAAGTCATACAGGTTTGGAACAACACAAGGGTGTAAATAATGATATTGTATTTAAGGTGAACTATTCATTCAATATGTAATAGCATTCAGTGTCTTTCAATTTAAAATAAAAAAAAAATCCTAGTTTCAGGAATCTTCCTAGAATTTGATGATTTACTCAGAAGTAAGTGGAAAGTGGCGACCTCCATCTGCTCTGTTAATATTTAGCATTGATTCAGGTGTAAGGATGATATCTGCCTGTCGCCTCTTCACAAATGATCCACTCAGCTGTTCTGTGGGTGTCCTTTTCTCACGCTAGTGTGTCATCAAATTTCAGTCCATATTACATCAGCTGTCACCTGACAGATCGCTGACTGGATTGCTAATTAATTTGATTTGATTGATTGATTGATTGATTTATTGAAGTTGTTACATTTGTTAATACATTTTTATGTCTGTTCAGGTTTGGACATAGATTGAATTAATTCTGTGTGCCCCTTTTCTTTCCTTCCCGCTCTTCCAGATGATGCCGGGTGGTGGTACTGTGCCAGCCATCCAACGAATCCCTCTGCCAGGAGCCGAGATGCTCGAAGAGGAGCCGCTTTATGTTAATGCCAAGCAATATCATCGTATCTTAAAGAGACGGCAAGCTCGTGCCAAGCTGGAGGCAGAGGGCAAAATCCCTAAAGAAAGAAGGGTGAGTCTTCCTCTTCTGAATGCCATGATGCGCACCTTAAATGAATTCGGTCTCATATCTCAGACTGATTCCTTGCTCTCCCCTACAGAAATACCTTCACGAGTCACGTCACAAACACGCCATGCAGCGGAAGCGCGGTGACGGGGGGCGCTTCTTCTCACCTAAAGAGAAAGAAGAAATGGCCTTGGCCATGCAGGTGAGAGCGCAGGGCCATGTCAAGCAGGAAGACCTCTGCAATGCCACCGAACTTGCGAGCGCACATTGGCTGTCCGAGCACACTCCGCCCCTCGCTTAGACGCTCATCTCCGCTTAGCAGATGCATTCTCACTCCTTTCCCGGTGTGACATGCTGTCATTGGCTGCTCTTGCACGCATCACCTCCTGCTTTTTCCTGTGCTTGTTGGCTGCTTGAGTCTGTCCCATCATGTCTCATTGCTAGTTAAGCATTCGTGCGAACAGACTGCATGATCTGCAAAATCTGCCGTGTGGTATTTTATGACCTGCCTGTCTGAACTTGGATTTCTGCAATATTTAACAAGAAAAAGATCATCTCTTCACAGTCATGACATAATCACGATGAAAACACTGATATTCCTCGCATACTGATGCAGCTCTTCCGAATTGCTGATGCAATGTGACTGACTTTGTCATGTGACCGTTTCTGTTTGATCTAAGCACCATTATTAACAGCATGGAGGTTAAAGAAAGCATGAATGCTCAGTTTGCCAAGCTCAATCATGAAATCACTGCCTGAAAATGATTTTTTTTTTTTTGAGGAACCAGTTTAAAAGAAATGAGATTTGTTTGAAATGTATATATTTTATGTTGTTTTGTTTACTACATTTTTTTTTAGGAAGAATTTGTTTTGTTTGGTGGATACTGTCCTTTCTTGATTGGCTTAACCTGTGCAGTGTCGTCACTGTGTTCATTTTTGTCGCATGTTGTGATTTTTATGCTGAATAAACATTCTGACTGACTTCCAAAAGGTTCACTGAGAAAAATAACTCAAACTACAAACTCAACTACCGTTTTAGAGTTTGGGGTCAGTAAGATTTTTTGGTAACACTACAATAAGGTGCGTTAGTTAATATTAGTTAAAGTACGAACATTACATGTTCTCAACATGAACTAACAATGAGCAATACATTTGTTACAGTATTTATTAATCTTTGTTAATGTTAGTTAATAAAAATACAGCTGTTCATTGTTAGTTCGTTAGTTCACAGTGCATTAACTAATGTTAACAAATACAACCTTTGATTTTAATAACGTATTAGTTAAAGTTGAAATTAATATGAACTAAGAATAATAAATGCTGAAGAAGTATTGTTCATTCTTAGTTCATGTTAACTAAGGTACTTAACTAATGTTAACTAATGAACCTTATTGTAAAGTGTTTTTTT